GCTAGTTCACCTTGTAACCAGAAGGTCCTGGGTTCTGACCCTGGTGGGTGCGCACTGATGAAGGGTCCCAAACTAGGGCGGAGGAAACAGCTATCTAGTACTCCATTGCTTGTTTTTCAATGGTTCTCTAACCAATATCAGCCCATGGTGAAATCCTGTAACCAATCAATCAAACCCCTACACACCAATCTTTGAGTTCTAAAAGTAACAAGTGTTATAAGGAGTTAGGAAAGAAAAACAAGCACACAAACATCACGTCGCTAGAAGTCAACACCGTCGTTACCGCTATCATAGCGGAAGTGGTTGGATGATTTTCTTTTGTATACACAACTCTGGCTTTCCCAACTAAATGGCTAAGGCTTCAGCAATACAAAGGACACAAAAGCGTATTGTTTTTGGTAGGTTGTTCTTCACTTTGTAGATCACTTTGAAGCAGGAGGCGCTTGTTTTGATGGGATGACCAGTGTTGACGAGATGTTCGATTGTCGCACTCAGCTACAAGGTCAAAGCTTTTCGCTCAGAAGATGACACCTTAATTGAAAATAGCTATCCAGAAAAGTTTATCAGGAAGTACATGGCCAAGAAATTAGGAAAGAACTATTCTCCATCTGTAAAGCAAGAAGCCTTTATGTATACGGTTGTAGTTCAAGGGTGACGTATAGAATGAAATAATTACTAACAAGTTAAGGAAGTTTATTAAGAGAACTTTTAATTGTGGTGAACTACAAGTCATACTTTTGGCATGACCGGTTGTGATTTCTCAATTGAAAGGTGAAGTACGTAGAATAACCACCTCTACCAATTCAACTGCACTTACGAAGCGAGTTCTGTTAGCCGTTGCTCTAGGAACTGGATTTTTCGTGCTTATTCGGGAACACACTTAAATAAGGGTGTAATGAGAAACATCAACAGCTGAATGTTAGACCACCTGGTCTGAAACCGGCCATTGAAGAATCCTTCTGCATTCTCTATCGAGTACCAAATAGATTATCAAAAGTATTCAGGTACCGGGTACTCCAAACAGTACAGGCTATTGTGATTCGTCTAAAACAACTACTACTGTTCTCTGTATGCAGAAGAACTAAGTCCAGCCAGCTGCTGCTACTGTAACGACAGAAGACAAGGCCCAGTCAACAGATCGTTTATTGAGAAAATCAACAGATATTTATTGACTTTTATGTAAATTGTTATTAACGTTATTGTTAGCAGACAAACAACGTCTTCTGATGGGTTGTTTTCTTGCTGAAGCTTATTCTATATTGCTTGTGACCGTTTCTTAGAAAGTCAGGCCATACATCTGCGAATCGTATTTGCACACGTTAGGTGTGCTGTGATTGGTTCATGAGTTCCTCAAGTTTAGGCTTTGTTATTGTTTTTTCTCATGACCCCGATTCGGGATGTGAACATTGACGTAAATTGTTGTACAATTTTGGCTAGCCGACAGCTCTCACCACACTACTACTACTACCATGGTCGGCCTTCAGTGGAGAATATAAATCCATGAATTTTTATTGCTGTTTTTCCTAATTTGTCTGATATTCAATGTACTGTAGTGTTATACTGATGGGTTGACTTGTTACCTGGGAATAATCTCGTTGACTTAGAATATGCAGACGATATAGTCCTCCCAGGCGATGACGCTGATAAAATAGAGCAGTCTTCTGAACACCTTGAGCTGCAATCTACGAATAATTGGCATGCGACTCGCTTCGGCCGCCAAATGCAAGATGATGTTACAGGGCTGGACTACACTGACTCCTAGTTTGGAAAAAGGGAGTGAAGTGGTGGAGCACATTGACCACTTCACTTATTTGGGAAGTATCATCAGCCAGCGCCAACGGGTTGATCTCTGGTGAAATGTCAGCAGGGATACAGAGGGCTAGTTTCGCATATGCCAGTTCACGCCGTCTCTGGCGTAGACGTGATATCCGGCTAGCTATCGACCAAAGGGCGTGTGTACTGCTCATCAGTCCGCTCCGTCCTCCTTTATGGCTAGTTGTGAGACCTGGCCATTGAGAGTGGAATACATGAAAAGACTAGCTGTCTTTGATCATAAGTGCCTGCATTCTATCTCCCGTGTGTGTTAAGTGGTATAATAAGGTGAGCAATATTGAGGTTAGGCGTTGGTCGAGTGCTAGGTAAGGATGGGAAATCAGTCGACGAGGCTGTGAAATTACATCGACTGAGATGGTTAGGACTTGTGTTACGAAAGCCTAGTCATCGCCTCCCTCGACGGGCAATGTTAGCTGATATAGGGTCCGGCTGGAAAAGAGCTAGCGGCGGTCAAACCAAAATATGGCTTCACTAGTCAATGAAATCCGCAACAGTTAGTTTAAGCCACGTAGGAAGGTGTAGACTTCCTGACTGGTTGAGGTCCTCAGGACAGTAGAAACCAATGGCTGGAATCAATTGGTGACATGGCTCAAAATGGTTCTCAATGGCTGGCGCAAATGCATCAACTACTTGTGACTTTTGATTTCCAACGAAACTATCTGGTTCCTCGTTATTACTATTCATTTGTCTCACAACTCTGTTTACTGTCTCTGTTATGCATTTCTTCTACTTTCTTCCTTGCTTTGTGTGCTGCATAGAGGGATTTTGGCGACTTGAACTGCCGCACATATGTGCAAAGTTCTACGTCGAAAACAGACAGACAGAGACAGATACTGATGCATATTATCACGCTTACACAGATGCTAGTGAACTGTAATCTATTCGTATTATTGATTGACTTAATGTTATTTAAACAACATTCATGTTCTTAACAACCCTGATTCTTTCATTATTATGGATGCATATATAACTGTAGAACTTGATGAAGAGCAGGTTGTCGAAAAGGATATTCTTTGTTCAGTAATTAGTTTTTTTGGAAAAAGGGTGGAACCGCACTGACATCAACACCATCTACACTGAATTTTAGGCAGCCACTTAATATTACAATCCCGACCAACCAGCGCATTAAGTTTGTATTTATCGTTTCTGGCTTTTAAAGATTGAGGAGAATTGCAAACTATCGATTTGTGATGGAAACATTGCGGAAAAAGTGTACATATCTTCTTTGTTTTATGTAACTGTGGGATAAAAGTTAGCCATCCAGGAAACCGTTCGCATCTAAATATGAACAACAGATTGGAACGCCTGAAAAATGTTTCAGGTTGACACACATCTTGAGTCATCAGTAAGTCACAGTGAAAACAGGCATGAAAAGGATGGGAATAAAAGTAACGATATGAACATAGTGTGTGTGTGTGTCAGTGGCGCAGAGGTGGAATGTTCGCCAATCACGCCACACATGGTCCGGAGTTCGATTCCCGGTCACTGGCCGCACTTCCAAACCTTGCTTAGTTTGTAATAAGCCCGTTAATTAAAGAGGGTAGGTTGGGGATGGATGAGGCTAGCAACCCCACCCGCAAAAATACATACCACTGCTGCAACCGAGACTTCGAAGCTCTATGTGTGCGTCGGTGGCACAGTGGTTAGGACTCTCGCCGACCATGCACATGGTCCGGGGTTCGAGCCCACGCCGGCGCACACCTGATATCTATGGTCGGCCTGCAAAATTTGGGCTACCGATATCCATGCTGAAAATTCCATACTTGTACCAAAAATACAGTGTGGAATCATGCTGTAAATCAAAAATTAAAAAAAAATTATGTTCCGCAAACACCTTCCGTTTCAGTTACTGCAAAAGGTTAAGTTAGGATTTCGAAGGAACTGAGTCGTTGCTTGGACTTGTTTTGGAAATAAAGTCGGTGCGCGTACGTGAAAATCTATAATCTTACGGTGTGACTTTTCCTATTCACTAACTAGTTACAATACACACACAGCGCCTCTTCACAGTCCATGGTAGTCAGTAAAATACTAGACATATTACATAACCTTCATTTAACATCTCCGTATCTAAAAAAACGGCACATGTCAAGTGATCCACAACGGAAAACTCAGAGAGGCGTTTGGAGTAAACACAGGAGTCAGACAAGGGTGCTCGCTTATTATCACCAATGATATTCCTAATTGTGGTGGACTGGATTATGCGTCAGACAGTGGGAAACGAGAAGACAGGGATATCCTGGACCGACCGACGTGAAGAACTTAGGAGACCTGGATTTCGCGCGTGAATGATTTATGTTTGATGTCACTGTCACAAAATCGAAGACTTACAAGCGAAAACCGACAAACTGGTCGAAGAAGCAGCCGGCGAAGACAAGAATCCAGGTGGACATAGACAAGACGGAGGTTATGAAAATAACCAACCAACAAAAACAACAACGGCAGCAACATCCAGCACCAATCACCATCAACGGGAGGGATTTGAAAGAGGTGACTTCATTCACTCAGTTATCTAGGGAGCATTGTCCTCCTCAACTACAGGAAGTCAGAACGGAAGAGGATGTCAAATCGAGCGAGAATCGGGAAGGCTAGCGAGAAACACATTCACTCATCAACCGACTGAAACCAATCTGGAAATCTTCATCACTCAGCCAGCATCAACAACAAAATTCAGTCGGATTTTCAATACAAACAACGTCAAGTCAGTCAGTTCTCCTATACGGATCAGAAACTTGTCAGGCGGGTGGGTCACAAAGAATATTTCCAACAGCCTGTTGCAGACCAACCTTTATCAACCAACAACTGTCTTCGCTGGCTCTATACTGAAGATCAGGTGGCCGGGCCGGAAAGAATCACCAACAAGGAACTATGGGAACAAACAAACAGAACAAGAACCAATCGCCAACCAAAAAATATGCAGGAGAAAGTGGAGGTGGATTGGACACTCGCTGAGGAGGCCGCTGGTTGACATCGCCTCCAGTGGAATCCGAAGGGGAAGCGGCGAGTGGAACGTCGGTGTGAGGGTGACATGGAGGAGATCGTGTGAAGAGGAGCTGAAACAGTATGGACTAACTGACATGGATGCAGGTGAAAAGTACAGTAGAAGCAAGTGGAGACGTGCAGTTGAAGCCCTATGTTCTACTAGGAACCCAAGGGAACAATAATAATAATGATATAAAAAATATGTATATTTAAATAATCTCAAGGTTGAACAGTGTTCTGTATACAAAACAGTATATATATAAATAATAATAGTGGTAATTATACAAGACCAAAGGTGATTTGTTATTCTTTTTTTAAGAGTGACATGTATTGTCATCTGAAGTCTGGCATACACGTTGTTTTATTATCTTAAATTGTGATTCTGGTAAACACACCGACTTTTTTATACTCTGCCAAATCCATGATGCAGATATCTGGAAACAATTCTAATATTTGGTGGCGGGAAAAAAGGAAGAAAAACAACAAACAAGCAAACATGACAGATAAATAAGATGAGGTGGAGTGAAATATACGTCATAAAAACATTGTGTTAACAAACACATATTATTATTATACTATTATATCCTTTAATTCCTAGAGGAACATAGGGCTTCAACCGCGTGTCGCTATTGCGTCCGGTTCTCTGCTAAAGTTTTCACCTGGCTTCAAGTCTGCCCACATGCTTTCATCTCCTCTTCATATGACCTCCTCCAAGTCACCCTCGCACTGACGACCAACTCGTCGCTTCCCATTTGGCGGGTTCCACTCGAGTGATGGCTTGTCTAGTGATGTCACTTGCTGGTTTCTTTGCTCAGAGTATGGCCAATCCATCACTTCTTCCTGTCTATTTATTTCACAATCGGTTCCTGCTGGGTTGGTTCACTCATTGCCAGAGATCCCTGTTGCTGATCTTTTCTGGTTGGCCATCTGATCTTGAGTATTGAGCGGAGACAGCTGTTAACGAAGGTCTGTAATTTGTTTGAGGTGCTCTTCATGACGCGCCAAGTCTCTAATCCGTATCGCAAGTAGTAGTGACTTCAAGTTGGAATTGAAAATCCGGATCTTATTTTTGATGATGAGTGCTGTTGACCTCCACACAGACTTGAGAGAAATGAAAGCTCGTCTTGCTTTTTCGGTTCTTGCTTTGATATCCTCATCAGTTCCGTCGGACTGTAGTTGAAACGATGCTTCCCAGGTGGGTGGGTAGGTAAATGAGGTTGTTTCTTTCAAGTTCCTCCCATTTATGCTGACTGTCATCTGTTGTTGTTGCTGCTGTTGGTGTTGACCAGGAATCTCCATCACCTGTTTTATCTATGTTCACTGGAAGTCCTATCTTTGATGCTTCTTCTGCCGACTTGTTGCTTTTCACTTGCATACACTCAAAAAGATCCATTCACAGAAAACCGACATGGAATGAACAACTCATCAGCTTTCACAGTTGGGTGCCTATATATACAAAACGAAATCTGATCCGCTCACTGACTCACAGGATCCACAACATTTGCAGTCCGGAAACTATAGAAGAAGAGCTGGAGACCCTGAAAAGAATCCTCCTTGAAAACGGTTACCCGGAACGTCTCATCACAAAAGCTATGAAGCCCAAAACACGAAAACCATCCATGCTTACTGCTCCCAAGAAACTTCTCTATTTGAATCTACAATTCAACGGAGATTCTTCAGCAGAAATACTGAGAAACCGCCTGTGCCGTTCACTGAAGAAAACCTTCTTCGCAGCGGAACTCAGACTAACTTTCTCTACGAAACCAATGATTCGCACGAACGTGAAGGATAAGCTTCCACTGGGGGCCTCATCAATGTGCATCTACCAATTCACCTGCTCATGTGGAGCTAGGTGTGTCGGCCGTATCCAGCGTTTGCTATCCAAACGAATCAGCGAACACTTACCTTCATGGTTTTATAAAGGAGAAAGAAGATCCCCCCGCCACAGCTCTATCCTAGAACACTTGATCGAATCCGGACACCAAGCAAACCCACAAAACAACTTCTCAGTTATCTACACAATAAGTGGGAATCTTGCCAAAAGAGTACGAATTAAACTTCTTCAAACTGCAGAAGCAATGGCAATTCACATATTGAATCCTGAACTCTGCATACAAAAGAAGTTTGTTCAGTCACTAAATCTGTAATGGTCCTGATCTATCTTAACACCAAATACGTAATTTTGTCCTACCTCTTTCTTCTTTGTTTGTCTATTTCTTAATTGCATTATTTTCTACCCCCACCCTCTATTAAATGTCTACGCTCATGACGACTGTTGCTAACTCGATTTTCGTTTATTTTTAAGTGAATTCTACCCAGATTATTAACTTGACTCTCATTCATTTTTTCATTGAACCCTATCAATTAGATTACGTCACCCGACCTACTTTTGTAACTTTATTTTAGTTTCTAACCGATTAACGCCTTCTAAATTACGTAATTTGTTTGTCAAAAAATTAACAATTGCATTAACACATCTTTGGAAATATTCCTTTTGTTGCCGAGACAAATTACTATAAATTTGCGATTTGTACAGCTTGAGAATGATATCGCCGAAAAGAGTAACTCTTAGCTGAACACCTTTTCTTTTCAAAGTCGATGAAGTTGAGATGATTGAGGGCTACTTACCAGGAAAATGTGGATAATAAAACAAATTAAAATAAATGACACCAACTCTAAATCTATCACTAATCGTAACCCTAACTTTAATCCTGACTCTAACCCTAATGCTAATTATAACCCTGATCCTAACCCTAACGAGCTATTAACACATTGTCCAAACAGTACTTAAGAAACGTGATCTGAGTGAAATTTGCTCCTTAGAGTCGGTGAATCGCGTTGATATTCCAGCTATGATAGTGACAGGTGCCGTTAGTCAACGACTAGCACGCGTCCAAGGTCATTGGAGCGTTCGCACTCCTGGGACGCTATTGTTGAACTTCGCCCCGAACACATCGGATGGTGTATGAATCACAGTTTCAGTCACCGAAAACCATCAATACTCACTTAGCTCCTGGCGCTGATCCACGCTGCCTTGCAGATTAGAATTCAAGTGAAAGACTCAGTGAAGGGGGTGAGACCACCTGGGCTTCGGAGCGGAGTACCCCAACCATCAGACAAACTATGCGACTTTGTGTAGCACATCTCTTCGTGCCCATAATGTATGTATCAAGTTTGTTATACTAATTGATAATAATGAAATAAGGTGACCTTGGGAAAACAGCTGTTTCAAGGGCAAAGGAGTTAACACCTTAGGAATGACTTCACATGTAGTCATCTTCACAGACATTTTGAACAAAGCGGTTAAATTTTGTTTTTAAATATCCCAAAATTCGGCAAAAATACTTACTTTATTAACAGGCAGTACAGGATCTTGCTTTGAATTGTTCAGATACACAATATGTGTAACAGATGAATCTAAATCTGACATCACATTTCCGTCATAAGTACACCACACACACACACACACACATGATTATTCAAAATAAAGCGAGTAAAGGAAAAGAAGATCCAGTGAAATAGTCAAGTGATTACTCTTGTGATCAGAATAAAAGTTATGATTGTGGGTTTCAACGGCTGACTCACTACTCCTAACCACCTTCACCTTGTCAGTCAGTCAGTCAGTCGGTAGTAAGCCTGGAGAAGGAAAAAAGAAGGAAAACCCGACCATCACTGTACTGAAATTTGAAAGTTCAAAACCCTATGCTCCATTTGGATCATAGTAAGATTAGAATGTGATATCCGTTCTTTATATCTCTAAACTGTTAGTCCAAGTTGCTTAAGAAAATACTAATATACACTTCCTAACTGAAGATTTCAAACTGCATGAAGTTTTTTTGGTTACAGAATTTCATCATGAGCTGAAAGCGGTTAGAGAATCATTGTAAACCAATACGGAGTACTGGGTTCGGACCCAGAACCTTCCGATTACAAGGCGAGCTGGCTTGTACACCATTCAGCCACTCACTGAGACCCGTCAATCTAATGACCAGTCCATGAAATCCAATTTCTGTCAATCCATGATATAGCGCGACTGGCACTAGCTGATTTCATCTCTGGCGAGTATTTCTCCTCAGACCCGACCTGCTATAATCCAATAGCCCCAACGGTTTAGTAGTCTACGAGCTAGCTCGCCGCCCTGTAACATGAAGGTCCTGGGTTCGAACCCTGGCAATGGGGGGTGGGTGCGTACTGCCGGAGAATCTCAAACTAGATCGACGAAGCAGTTGTCCAGTAGTCCGTTTTGGTTTTCAATGCTTCTCTAACCAATGTCAGCTCATGATGAAATCCTGTAACCAGTGAGATTCTCAGCAAATCAACACCTCGCACACCTGCTTACTGGTCAGCCATTAAAGGTATGTCACATAAAAGGTATATCAACACCGCAACCGCCACAACCACCACATCACAGTCAATTCATTTATAAAAAAGGATATGTTATAATTATTCGTTTCAACTTCTTCATTTCTTCGGTGCAATCATCATCATCATCACCACCTTTCGAAGAATTATGAAGATAGAAACTTTTCCCAGTGAATAAATTCCGTAAATGCTTAGCTGGTCGTATAACATCTAAGAAGAGAAAAATGAAAACAAAACGATAATATTTTTTGCTTTATTCCAAAAACAGTAACTAATGATACAGCAAGGAAATTTTCAGCATTCAGTACATTCTGTATATTACATCTAATTTACTCAAAAACGAAAAAAAATAAACATCACATAATAATAATAATAATAATAGTGAAACGTTGTTATAGTAGCTATGTAGGAAATTACAGTGTGCGATACGAAGAAAAATATGCATTAAGTGTAAAATTATGGTAATAAAAGTAATAACAACTAAAATAAAATAGCAAAATTATAATTTAGATATAATAGAGAAGATTTGTAGCTCAGGTGGATCATTTTGATGTGGTTGTGTTCTCTGAGCTAGATGGTTAATTTGCGAAGCCTTCATCACCCTACTGGGTGACATCTTCAGCGCATACTTCAATTTACTGAAGTGAGCTTTTAGACTTCCCCACGAGTTTATCAATCATCTCTCCTGATCGGTGACCACCTTGGACGCGATTGTTTGTTTTTGTGCGTTTTTACACCTTCTAGGCTACTTGAATTGGGACTGATTGTTTCTTTGACTTGAACCTTGACCCTTTGTGTGTGAGATTTCCTTCTTCTTCTTATCGGTTGGTAAATTTTGTCTATCTCGATGTGTCTATTGATTGATGATTCACGGGAATACCAGGCTGGCTTCTAAAAATTCTCTAGCATTCTTGTTGTTTCCTCTGTCTAATATTTGAACATTGTCCCAGTCGAACTGATGTCCGTGGTTGTCTGTATGTAGTGGTATGAAAGAGTGGATACCATGTCTTTTGACGGCTAGCTTATGATCGTGGATACGAAGATAAAGGTGACGTCCATTTTGGCCAATGTAGTGTTTTTCACAGTTGTTACAATTCATTTTGTAGATGATGTTGGTTTTATCTTCTTTCGCTGTTGAGTCTTCTGGTTGACATAGAATTGATTGAAGTGACTTTGTTGGTTTGTGTACGACGTCAATTCCTAAAGGTTTGAAGAGTCTTGTAGTGATTTCAGAGATATCCTTTATATATGGTAAGGCGATTTTCTTTGTGCTTTCCTTGGGGGCTTTTGCTTTGTTAGGCTGACTTAGGGGTATATGTATTTTGATGAATTGATTTGATATCTCAGAAATCACTACAAGACTCTTCAAACCTTTAGGAATTGACGTCGTACACAAACCAACAAAGTCACTTCAATCAATTCTATGTCAACCAGAAGACTCAACAGCGAAAGAAGATAAAACCAACATCATCTACAAAATGAATTGTAACAACTGTGAAAAACACTACATTGGCCAAAATGGACGTCACCTTTATCTTCGTATCCACGATCATAAGCTAGCCGTCAAAAGACATGGTATCCACTCTTTCATACCACTACATACAGACAACCACGGACATCAGTTCGACTGGGACAATGTTCAAATATTAGACAGAGGAAACAACAAGAATGCTAGAGAATTTTTAGAAGCCAGCCTGGTATTCCCGTGAATCATCAATCAATAGACACATCGAGATAGACAAAATTTACCAACCGATAAGAAGAAGAAGGAAATCTCACACACAAAGGGTCAAGGTTCAAGTCAAAGAAACAATCAGTCCCAATTCAAGTAGCCTAGAAGGTGTAAAAACGCACAAAAACAAACAATCGCGTCCAAGGTGGTCACCGATCAGGAGAGATGATTGATAAACTCGTGGGGAAGTCTAAAAGCTCACTTCAGTAAATTGAAGTATGCGCTGAAGATGTCACCCAGTAGGGTGATGAAAGCTTCGCAAATTACCCATCCAGCTCAGAGAACACAACCACATCAAAAGTTATAATTAAACGATAGAAAGGGTGACACCATAAGATTACAAGAAGATGAACGATGAAAGGTTCGATTCACTTTGCTAATTACATAGTAACTTATATGTTTCACGTCTAACAGTCTTCATCAAATAAAATACGGGCTAAATACGGTATCGTAGAATTTTGTACTCAGCAGTTCGAGCATATAACTTTTTATATTGACTTCTCATCCTACCTGATGAGATACAAGGGGATAGTTGTGAATAAACGGGGTGCAGGGAGTCTGACAGTGTACGGCCTTTGCCCATTTTGTACAGGTATTTATGTGTCTCTCGACTATAGTATTTGGCGAGCTCACGCAGTGGCAAACCACAAGCCCTATTCACAGCATTTAATACACTTTGTGATACGATATAATCTTTTTTGAGAAGCCCAGGAAAGATTAATGGAGAGCGATAGAGTACAATAGGTAAAATACAGGAGTTTACAAACTGCAGACGTAAAGGTTGGTTGATACCTGATTGTCTTAACTTTTTAATGTAGAAGGTGAGACGAAACATTTTCTTAGAGATAGATAAGATGTGGCATGACCATGAAAGGTCAGAGGAAAGAACTAATCCTAAGTAATTGACTTGGTTTCAATTTCGGTGCCGTCTATGCTACAGATATCATGCGAACTAACTAGTTCATATAAGTCACGTCGATGCTTGAAAGTAAAGTTAACTGCCTGACATTTGGAAGGATTTAACATAAGACCATTTGACTTAGACCACTTGTTGATGTCCAACAGAAAGCTATTAAGTTTGGCGCAGTCAGACTCGGAAGTGATAGGCAGTGATACAGTCAGATCATCTGCATATTTGACAAAGTTAGTTTCGTTTGAATGAGGCAGGTCATGTAGGAAGAAGGAAAAAAGAAAAGGAGAGAGGACGGCACCTTGAGGAACACCAGATTTTGTAAGCGATATAGAAGAAGATTTGCCATTATATACTGTGTACTGCATTCTATTAGAAAAGTAGGAATGCAACCAACACTTAGCCCAGGATCCTGTTTGTGTCAATGATAGCTTATTTAATAAAAGGCCCCTAGGTACAGAGTCGAAAGCAGATGTGTAGTCTAAGAAAGCACTACGAACATATTTGGCACCTTTGTCTAAACAAGAAACAACATTGTGATATTGGACAACCGCAGCATCCAAGGTGCTTCTACCATGTTTGTATGCAAATTGTTTAGGATCGTTAAAAGGTTTCAATGAAGGTTCGAGACGAAGTAAAAGTAATTTTTCCATCAATTTTAAAAAAGGAGAAGTAATTGCAATAGGCCTAAATTTAATATCAGTACCAGAAGATGGTTTTGGTATGGGGATAATTTTAATGTTTTTCCATGCAAAAGGTAGAATGTTACCGGAAAAGGAAGCATTAAAAATGTTAGTAAGAGAGTAACACAAAATATCAGTACAGTTCCTGAGGACAATTACAGGTGGCACAGTGGTTAGGATCCTCGCCTACCATGCACATGGTCCGGGGTTCGAGCCCACGCCGACGCACACATGATATCTATGGTCGGCCTGCGAATTTTGGGCTACCGATATCCACGCTGAAAATTCCGCACTTGTACCAAAAATACGGTGTGGAATCAAGCTGTAAATCAAAAAAATAAATAAATAAAATGTACACCATCAGGACCAAGGCTTTGGGAAGGCTTAAGAGACTGGAGACATTTAACAGTAAACAAACAAACGCCTGAACCACGTATAAAACCCAGAATATATTAGAAGTTGTACACCCTGAATTATCGTGAGATATGAGAAGCACTTTTCCAAGACGACTGAACAGAACACTGATGGAGAACACATGGACGTACGGAACAAAAGTAGCAAAAAAGGGTTAAAAATGCAGTGAAGAAGGTTCAAGAAAGTGGAACATAGAGGAAACATGTACACCAGGCACAATTTAATAATAGACTGAGAATCCATATACCCACAATAGAATGTTAACATAATAAATGAGATACAAATTTATGAAGTTTATGTACACAGTAGACTGTTATTCCTTATTCCCAGAAAGTAGTATGAAGTTGAATACAAAGTCCCTATAACCGACCTGGTCGTGGACTCCATAGCTTAAAGATAAGGATGCAGGGGTGCAGTGGTTGTTGAGCGTGTTGGCTACCTCACTTATTTGAGAAGTTGATTCAAGGCCAACTTGCCGATCGATGAAAAAATCTCATCATAGATACAATAGACCCGTGTGGCATTCACCTACCAGGTGACGCCATCTCTGGCTTAGTAAAAGTGATATTCGGCTGGTTGACTGTCGACCAAAGGGCGTGTGTACTGTTCAGCAGTCAGTTCACTCCATCCTCCTTTATGGCTGACTGGATAGTGAGTGAGACATGACCCCCATTGAAAATGAAAGACATGAAAAGCCTGGCTAGCTGGCTATCTTTCGTCACAGGTATCTTAGTCTTATCTTCAGTACACGTTGGCTGGTAGGTGTAGTAGGGTGTGTAATATTGAGGTGAGGCTTCAGTTCAGTGCTATGCTAGGTAAAGAGGAGAAATCAATCAACGAAGTTGTGAAGTTTCATCGATTGAGTGAGAAGGTTAGGACATGCGTTGCTGCGCATGCCTAGCCTAGCCATCACCTTCCTCGACAACGGGCAATGAATGTTTGATTAACTGACATAGGATAGGATCAGGTTGGAAAAGAGCTAGCACTTGGTGGTCAAACCAAAATACGGCTTCATCAGTCAATCAAATCCATAACAGTTACTCTAAGCCACGTAGGGAGGTGTAGACTTCGTGACTGGTTACGGTGCTTGGAATGGTAAGAACCAACGACGGTGGCTGGAGACAATGAGTGTGATATGGCTCAAAATCCTCGCTGTCAGTGACAGTGCAAATGTATTCACTCTTTGTGATTTGTCATACCCAATAAAACTCTATTCTTCTTCTTCCTCCATATTACTGTTGTTTTTCCCTTACACTTCTGTTTATCTCTTCGTTGAATCTTCCTTCTCTTGCTTTGTGTGGTAAATGGAGAGTGGCAACTGAAACTGCTGCACATTTGTGGAAAGTTCTATGTTGAAATCAGTTAACCAGTCGTTCAAACGATCTGGTATGGCTGAGGATGGGTAGGCTTCGGTCTTCTTCACGAAGTGCTCCCATGTGGCCACACCTTAATAGCCCCTGCCAGATAAGTCCCAGTCCACTGGCTTCACGCGATGAAAGTGTCCCTCAAAAAAGTAGAATAAGAAATTCGAATATCTGGCACTTATAACCAGACTGGAGGATATGCTGGTCTGTCTAGGGGATCTGCAAAACCCTGATTCCAAGCCTATAATGAACATGGGATCCATACTTAAAACACATCGAATAGTGTGTGCACCTGTTTTGGTCATCGAAAACCATGGAAACGTAGCTCCTGACACCACTCCACTGGGTTGTAGATCAAACGTCAAGTCAAAGAACTATGGGGGAAGGGAAGTGGCCCCTTATGACGACAACCACCTGCTTCGATCTAGGCGTCCGGAGGGAGTAACCCAACCCTTGTACAAAAACATGAAATTTTGTGTGGCGTATCTTCTGGTGCCTATAAATGCACCAACCTTGTGTTTTCATAAGAATACAATAAAAATAAATAACAGACAAAACCAGGTACAATATTGGCACCAAGAAGATACGTCATACAATAATAATAAAACATGATGTGAAAAAATAGGCAGAGAATGCATAGAGACTTCATCCGGGAAGGAAGCAGCTATATCTAACAAAACCAAACAGCACTAGTCGACTTATTGTCAGAAAAGGGAAGAAAGGAGGAAATCGCAGCACGTTCGCCATTGATGACTGGCGGTTCTTGATCATATCCGATGTTTTTTCGAGCTATTACTCCGACGCCGATCAGGGGAGTCATGACTCACCGATCCTTCATCCCACAGCGCCACATCATAGGTTGACCACCTCTCGAACTTCTCCATTCGGTCCCAGGGCTAGCAGACAGAGACCGATACGAAAGCTTCTGGTATGACATTAGTACCACATACAATTGGTGGATGGTGGTTAGCAGTGGAATCCAGGATGCGCATTTCGTCCTAATTGGGACTCGTCAGCTGGATGTACCTGCATTTCTCAGTGAGTGATGATGTTCCCACCGAGGCTCGAACCCAGTGCCCATAGTTTCAAACGCCAAAAGTTTCAAACTCACTGAGAAATGCAGGTACATCCAGCTGACGAGTCCCAATTAGGACGAAATGTGCATCCTGGATTCCACTGCTAGCCACCATCCACCAATTGTACACAAATCAAATCCCCAGACATCGTCGAAGCGTCTGCACAAGAAGCCGACATGTCAACCTGAGACCGAACACTTCGGTCCAATCAATCGACGGGAAAATCAAAAATTCAATTCAATAATTAGTACCACATGTTCAAGCCACTGGAGGCGGTGTTTCCAGATGACGGCACTCAATCAATGTTGATCTTGACTGTGTCTAAAAACACACTGCATGACTTCAGGATTACTCACACGATGATACTATCGAGCCCGAGCAGTTCTAATGGCAGAGTCGTCACACATCCTTAGCTCAAAGAGACCAGGTTTCACTGGCGTAGAGCAAGACTGCGCGCACCGAAGCATTGTAAGCCTGATGTTTGACAGCCAGGCTAACACCGAGACGGCGCCAAGGGTGGGCTCAAATCAGCGTATGCAACTCCAGATCTCATGATACGGTTGGAAACTTCGTCCGACACACCTCCGCCAGCACTTACACAACTGCTCAGATGCACGAACCTATTGACAACTTCAAGCGACTCACCTGAAAGATTGGGTGCAGATACAGGCTCTTGCCAACCTTGTAAGAGTACTTTACACTTAGACGATGCAAAGCACATAACATACTTACCAAAATCCAAACAGACAGAATGGCGTGCGAACCACTGGTAACCATAGGGAAGTAGCTCCTGATGTCGCCTTGCGGCTGAGACTTCAAGTCAAAAGCCTGGGGATAGTAGTCCCTTTAGAAAAACACCTGTTTTGGTCTGTGCGCCCATGCAGTATCCCAAGGCCTCACACTAACAGTGAAACATACTAACACTTGTCTCTGACCACTGGTTGTTAGTGTCTCGAAGAACCCAGCCAAATAGCCTGCACACATCCAAAGGCAACTCAAACCAACAATAAAAACATTCATGGATAAGCATCATATATTGGTTTGACTATCTGTCTGACTCCTTCCAAACCAAATTCCACATCAGCTAACATTGTTCGTCAATGGCTTCACAACATGCCTAACAATATCTCCTAGCCATCCATCTCTCAATCGATGCAAATTCACAGCCACACCGATAGATACAAACACGCAAGTGAAGGCTAACTAACTATTAAACCTATACGAACAAAATCATTGTTTTATGGTGTGCAACACAGATGGCACTGAAATAGAAACCAAGTCGGAAATTCAATACCTAGGCGTCATTCTATCTGCTGATCTTTCCTGGTCGTCTCATTTCTTGATGATTTCTAAGAAAATATTCCATCTTACCTTCTACATCAAGAAGTTGAGACATTTTGGAATAACCCAGCCCTTACTCTTACGATTCGTTAACTCTTGCATCCTGTCTATTGTTCTCTATTGTTCCCCCTTAGTTTTTCCAGGGCTACTGAAGAAAGACTTCACCTTATTACGTAGGGTGTTAAAGGTTGTCAGCAGGGTAAGCGACGTGCCACTTAGCTAGCTTGTTAATATTCTGGTCGATAGGCATTTGGACTCATGTGAAAAATGGACTCAATCCATTCTATCTAACTCACACCACCCTCTTCATTCACAACTCTCCCCTTGTATCTCAACAGGCAGAACCAGAAGCCTATATAGAAAACTATATGCTCGCACTAGCAAATACAAAAACTCAACCATACCCTACTTAGCTCATGTTCTGTGAGATAAAGAAAGCATTAGACATGAAACTTATAACTTATTAGATAATCAGTAGAACAATTGGATCTCGTTTTTCCAACTCATATCATTTATAGGTACAATGTTTTTTTACTTTCTTTTCCTTTTCTCTCTCTTTTTTCTGTTATGTGCTGCTTTGCTTCTTTCTTCTGCTTACGCCAGTAAATATGCTAGTAGTATCTACTTTTCTAACACCTTCAAACATTCTGTTCACTTTTGACTTTGCTACCGATATGCTATATGTTGTTGTCAGAATTAACTGAGATTTCCCATAATCTATGTAGAATTTTATTTATTGTTAATGTAAAAATTGGATGCAATACTGTAGTGAAATGCTGAGAATTCCATTCTGTATTACAAGTATTGTTTTGGAATAAAGCATATTATGGTTGCTAGTGGCGAATTTAGCACTAAACAAAACAGCTGTACAAACGAATATTTACACTTATTAATGTCTGGTCACAAAATAAATATTAATGACTGTTTCACAATTATTTCACATAACTCTAATTCAAGGTTGGTTATTGAAGGTGATGGAAGCACTTTGGGGGATTAATCACATACAGCCTAAACTGTGTGTACAAAAATCAATAGACTTCAATCTTCGCCTACCCTGGACTGCATGACCTATCTTAATATGATTGGTCATTAGTATGTACTTTTGTTTTTACTTAACTGAGTAATTTTCATGAACTTTATTTTATCATTGTTAACCATGTTAGTTGTAAAGCGGTTGTAAAGAAACTACGAAATGACGATATCATCTCGCGAAATTTGTCTTCTTAATGCCTTGTTCAAATTTATCAAAGGGACTAATTGTTTGAATATTTATACGACAATAAAAAGACACATAAAAAACTAACCTGGAGTTTTTCCATCATTACTATTAATATTATCACTAACTTCGTTATCTTGAGGCTTCGGGTTGCGTTTTAAACCTTTTTCTAAAAATGGTTAACAGATAAAACAGTTATAATAAGTGAGCGCTAAAAAAGTTAAAGTGACTTAAGTAATAAGTAATATATGATCAATTTTAAGTGAATTTTATCACAAGGTGTTGGTGTTTCTGAAGGGACTTGTTTGACTTTATGTCTCCTCACAGACTAACTTCAGTTAGAGAATTATTACTAATCAGGGGGGAGGAACTTAACATCTATTCCGTCCCATTCTCGACCGATAGTTGCCAACTTGACGTGGTGGTCGGGCTTGCATATCACAATGACCTAGCAAGTTACATTGACTGGAACTAATGTTCTTGGAGGTCCTGCCAAATGACTTCAAATGAGAATTCAATTCCACACTGTTATGTACTCGTTGAGTAGTTAATAGTCCTGACGCGGAAAGAGGGAAATCAGAAGACCACCAGGTTTACGATGATACTTGTATTTTCCAGACAAGGAAAATAAATGTCACACAAGTGTGTGAGTGAATAAGTACGAAATGTACGGACAAGTATGTATATAAAGTGTACAATGCAAAGTATATATGAAAATGGCTAACGCACATGAACCAATAAGATAACGTCTTACCACGATTGGTTGTAATGTGATAGCGAGGTCATACATGTTTATTTAGTTAGTGGACAGACAGAAGCATATTGTCAGTTATAATGAAATATCGATCCATATACACATAGCAAAATATAATAGACTGTCAACAATAAAACACACACATCATGTGGATACATATCACACACTAAAAAAAGATTGCGAAGGTATGGGAGAGAGAAAGAATAAGACTAAATGATCAATCACTTACAAGTAGTAACACAAATTACGTGAGCATTTGGCAGAATACTTGCCAACCACTCAAGTGGTTGTAGAGTTCGATTCCCACACGGTGTACTCATAAACCACAACTAGCCGGTGGTTGGCCCAAAAATGACACTATCAACACCACCACGACCACCACTACTACTGGAACTTCAAAGCTGGAACCGCATTTTCCATTCGGAAGTGAAGGAATGAGAAAAAAATTGACGAACTTTACTGTATGGTACTAATAAAATTGTCTAGTATGATGTATAAACGTTGACCATTGGATATTGAATTTTTCAAGTCATATTAGACTTCGTCTTGTCGGTTTATAGTCAAATTGCATGCCGATATTTTGCACTTATTTGATAATGATGAGCCTTGCGCTAATTAGTCACTAGAATGTGACCATGTGTCCAGCCATTGATCTTGGGTGCAGGCTGAACTCCTAAATTCATTTATATAGTTCCATTATTTTTCATTTGATTTTCACTTGATTTGATTGGTAGTAGTATTTTCCATATTTCGGGTATGAGTGATGAATCATTTCTACTGCATGTGTTTGGTGTAGACTCAATGAACCAGGCAGGATTCAGTAATCAACCTCTCTCTCCACCTGCCTAGATTACTTTTTAGAATTTTAACCCTCTCCCACCCTATTGTGTGGTTGTGTGTTAATGCATGCAGTGAAATTGCTGAGTTTTTTTCTAAATTACTTATCTGTCTTCTCGGGGTCAACCATTCTTATCTTAGCTAAATTCTTATATTCTGACAATCTGACTACTCCTGACCTGCTAGTCTGACCTATGTAGTTGACCTTACAGTCATTGCAGGGTATTTTATAAATTATATTATTTTGTCTAACTGGGTCAACTGGGTCCTTTAACCTACAGAGCTTGTCCTACCGGAGTGAGTTTGTAGGCTTAAATGCCACCACAATTCCTGCTTTGTTATTAAGAATCCTACGTAGGGTCTCAGATGTCCCCTCTTTATAAGGTATAATAACTGTAAGTGCCTTATACTCTCTCTTATTTATGTTATTATTACTAGTTTCACAATTATTTTTATTTTGCTTTTGGCCTTTTTCGATGTTCCTAATGAATTTTATAGGATAGTTAGTCATTTAACACCGACGCCTCTTCTCTCTGTTTTATTTCATCATTTAGGTCTTTTCTTGTGCTACTTAGTGCTAATGCTTGGTTCATTAGACACTTAACTAAGCTTGCCTTCACAGACAGTTAACAGATGAGATGAATTAAAGTCTAAATATCTATTAGAATGCGTTGCTTTTCTACAAACACTAGTGTGTAGTTTACCCTCTTCTATTCGTTTTATTTTACAATCTAACATAGCTAGCTAATTCTCCTTGTTCATTTTCCGCTTCAAATGTGAATTTTATTCCCTCCACAAGTGGAGGGAGTGACCGAATTAGACAAAATAATATAATTTATAAAATACACTGCAATGACTGTAAGGTCAACTACATAGGTCAGACTAGCAGGTCAGGAGTAGTCAGATTGTCAGAATATAAGAATTTAGCTAAGATAAGAATGGTTGACCCCGAGAAGACAGATAAGTAATTTAGAAAAAAACTCAGCAATTTCACTGCATGCATTAACACACAACCACACAATAGGGTGGGAGAGGGTTAAAATTCTAAAAAGTAATCTAGGCAGGTGGAGAGAGAGGTTGATTACTGAATCCTGTCTTGTTCATCGAGTCTACACCAAACACATGCAGTAGAAATGATTCATCACTCATACCCGAAATATGGAAAATACTACTACCAATCAAATCAAGTAAAAATCAAATGAAAAATAATGGAACCATATAAATGAAGTTAGGAAGTCATGTGAGTACCTTGTTATGATTATGAGCAATAAATTGTACTCGAAATGTCATCAGTAAATATTACTTACTGTACAACACTGTGAGATTTTATCAAAACAAAATTTACCCATAATGGAAAATAGAATAGTAATATCGAAGAACCATATACTTTTATTGGATATTATAAGTCACAAAGAGTGGATGTATCTGCGCCATTGAGAACGATTTTGAGCCATATCACCAATTGTCTCTAGCCATTAGTGTTTACCATCCCGAGGACCCCAACCAGTTAGGAAGTCTATACCTTCCTACATGGCTGGCTTAAACTAACTGTTGTGGATTTCATTGACTGATGAAGCAAGGTTTTGGTATGACCACCACTGGCTCTTTTCCAACCTGATCCTATGTCTGCTAACATTGCCGGTTGTCGAGGAAGGCGATGGCTAGGCATACGTAACACATGCCTTAACCATCTAAATCAATATAAGGCATATAATTGCAACCTTCAAAAGAAGTGATGCCCATCAGAGGTTCGAACTCACCTTACTCAATACTGTACATAGAGAGATATGACCACTGAGTTATGCGGGCCCACTTGACTATGATTGAATTCACCTAGTAGAGACACTGAGGACTAAACATATGACACATTGGTTACTTCATTCATAATGACTGACTAATCAGTGTAATCATTACCGTCATACAGGTCAATTGTAGGCCCAAAATAACCCAATGGTAACGTTTTTAATGGCACAGGTTGGAATCTCCAAGAGGACATCAGTTCCACCCGCAATAGAGATAAAAAGATGAGCTGTACATACACACTCGTCATCATGGTAACAATATTTTTACAAAAAATATACATTACATATGGAAATTAAAACAACCTTTAACGCTAACAATAATAAGGATGAAAAAGTGAGGCAATCTGTGATAACATGAATAATTAAAAAAAACAGCATGATTAAACAAACAAATGTTCAGGTAGACATAGTAGTCGATAAAGGCTAATAAAAACGAGTGAACCAACTAAGTAATGTTAGATTGTAAGGGAAGTATATGAAACACGTTTTTAATGAAGATGCGATAATATTAAGGGATTAAGATAGAAGAAGGGTTGAAAATATAAACAAGGGGTGGTGTAAAAGTCATCAGATGGTTATGTCTTAATAGGCCAACAAGGGAGGGATAATGGCTGTAGGAACTTCTTTTGAAGGCATAGTTTAGGTTTAATAGGTAAAATCCCTATCGCCTCAGCTGTGCGCAGTAGACGAACACGAAGTCTATTGGAAAGATTCGGTGGGATATTTTGAAAGCTCTCGTTTTCTTCACTACATGACCACTATCAACTAAATGTGACAAAATTGAGCTACGGATTGTTTTTGTCTGTCCTTTGCCAAACCACCACGATGGGAGATGTTCATTAACACGTTTGTTCGCTAAGCTGTCTAGTAGTACGCTCAACATAACTGTCACCACAGATGCAGTTGAATTAATAAATGAACATAGATTTGGCAAAACTATCTAACTTATCCTTCGTTTGCGTCCCAATCATTCATCGGTTAGAGAATGACAAACATAGATATGCTGCGTAAAACGTTCTTCGTATACTTCTGGAAAGTCTCTGGAATAAAATCTCACTTGGTAAGTCGGCATTAAATTGTAACTTAATAAGTAGGGGCTTTTCCGTGCTGTCGTATTATTCTCAGGTTTTATCTCCAATGTTTTCATATGTTTCTTTATGAAACTACTCGGGTAGACTATCTCCGTCAAGGAATCGTGAATATATTCAAATTCCTTTTGTAAAAGGTCATCCGTACATACCTTTCTTGCTTTGCTCGTAAGAAATTTAACAACATTTCTTTTATATTTAATGGACACGTAACTAAGCCATTATCCCTCCCTCTTGTTGGCTTATTAAGACATAACCATCTGATGACTTCTACACCACTGCATAATTACTTATATTTTCAACCCCTCTCCTATCATTCCGTAATCTTACCACATTTTCATTAAAAATGTGTTTCATTTACTTCCCTTACAATCAGTCTAGGATTACTTAATCGGTTCATTTGTTTTCCTTAGCCTTTATCGACTACTATATCTACCTGAACACATTTGTTTGTTTAATCATGCTGTTTTTCGCTATTCGTGTTATCCCATATCGCCTGACTTCTCCATCCATTATTATTATCATTGCTATTATGACTAATTGCACAATTTGTATATTCCCCATCTTATTATCCTATAACGTTAACAATAAAAAAAAACGGCAACCAAACAATAACAAAACTCACTTGATGATGCATTTCGGAGTGGAGGAGACACTGCCGTCGAGTCAGGTGTAGTAGGCTGAATGTTCAACTGTGTAGAATCCGATCGTCTACTGTTTCGTGGATAATAATATCTGCATTCACACACAGACACACAAATATCCGATAGTATTCATCAGTTATCGAATAATTAAGGAAATAGTACAATTGAATATGGTTTGATGAATAATAGAGAATTGATGAAAATAGGTCAGAGGAGAAGAATGCGACATCTGTTCCCACTACAGACAGCAACAGCCAGAAGCAGTGAGTGGTTGATGCTCAATTTACAGGCAGATAAATTGAATGAAACATTGTGAACTAGGAAATAAGTCACAACAAAATAACCATCCAGACATGAATGTAAGGACAAAAAGGTTCAGCGAAGAATTTTTTTTGGCGAATTCATTCACTTAGCTGTACAGTCGCAAATGTATATATATATATATATATATATATATATATATATATACCAACAACGGAAGCAGAATTACCAGTGAACATCAACCCCCCGACGAGAACAGAAGTCCTGAAGGCAATCAAGATGCTAAAAGCTGGAGAAACAGCAGGACAAGATGGAATCCGAGCAGAAGCATTGAAAATGGAACCAGAGACAACAGCCCACTTGATGATGCCACTCCTACAGGTGTGGAAAGAGGGAAAGGTACCCGAGGATTGGAAGAAAGGCTACTTATTCAAATTACCAAAGAAAGGAGACTTAAGTCAATTCAAGAACTGGCGCGGAATTATGCTCCTTTCCATCCCAAGCAAAATACTAAGCCGCCTCATCTTGGAGAGAATCAAACACACTGTCCTGGATGAAAAACTTCCACCGGAACAAGCTGGATACAGGAGAAACAAGTCATGTATTGATCAAATCGCCACACTACGGATCATCATTGAACAAGGCTTGGAATGGTAGTCTCCTCTCTATCTCAACTTCATCGACTACGGCGTTCCACCGACAATTATACATCTCATCCAACAGTTGTACGACAATGGTGTATGCTAAGTAATCCACAACGGGAAACTTACGAAACCCTTCGAAGTAAAGACGGGAGTAAAACAAGCTGGCTGTCTACTATCGACAATGATTTTCCTGATTGCAGGAGATTGGATAGTGCGACAGACAGCGGGCAGCGAGGAAACAGGCATAAAATGGACCCATACAAAAAACTTGGAGGGTCTGGACTTCGCGGATGATATATGTCTGATTTCCCACAAACTGGAAGATATGCAAATGAAAACAACAACTTTGCGATAGAAGCATCAAAGATAAGACTTCAGGTGGACATAGATAGAACAGAGGTGACGGAGATTCCTGGCCAACACCAACAGCCACAGCGACAACAACAGACGACAGTCAGCATAAATGGGAGAAATCTGAAAGAAACAACCTCATTTACCTACCTACCCACCTGGGAAGCATCGTTTCAACTACAGGCTGACAGAACTGACGAGGATATCAAAGCAAGAACCGGAAAAGCAAGACAAGCTTTCATTACTCACGTCAAGTCTGTGTGGAGGTCAACAGCCCTACTCAGCATCAAAAATAAGATCCGGAATTTCAATTCGAATGTGAAGTCAGTACTACTTGCGATACGGATTAGAGACTTGGCGCGTCATAAAGAACATCTCAAACAAACTTCAGACCTTCATTAATAGTTGTCTTCGCTCAATACTCAAGATCAGATGGCTGGCCAGAAAACATCAGCAACAGGGATCTCTAGGAGCGAACCGACCCAGCAGGAACCGATTGTGCAACAAATAGGCAGGAAGAAATGGAGATGGATTGGAAGCCATACTCTGAGAAAACAAACCATCAAGTGAGTGACATCACTAGACAAGCCATTGCTCGAGTGGAACCTGAAAGGGAAGCGGCGAGTTGGTCGTCAGTGCGAGGGTGACTTGAAGGAGGTCATGTGAAGAGGAGATGAAAGCATGTGGGCAGACTTGGAGAGGGGTGAAAACGTTAGCAAAGAAATGAACGCAATGGAGACGTTCGGCTGAAGCCTTATATATATAATGAATAATCAAACTGTCACTAGGGGCGTGTTGACGAGGGTTACGTAATAGAAAGACACCCATGGTTAGGGTTTTAATGAAACAGCTTGGAGAAGTGTCCAAAATGAATTATGTAATAGGTAAAAAGAGTAGTAAATAAAGGGTCATTTAGGAAAAAGATGTTACTAAGAAGTCATGCAAAAAAATGCCCAAAATCGTATTAGTAATAACAAAGTAATCGAACTTGGAATTATACCCAATGTAAGAAGAAGGAAGGGGGATGGAGAAGTTTCTTCTGTGTACACAAATCAGGGCTGTCCGTCCAAATAGCTTTTGGAAGACAGGTAGGGGGGTGGAATCAAGTGACATGTTTGTGAAGTTATATCGACTGAGAAAGATGGTTAGGGTATGTGTTACTGTGCATGCCTAGCTATCGCCTTCATCGAAAACCGGAAGTGTTAGATTAGCTGACATAGGATGGATCAGGTTGGCAAACAGCTAGTAGTACATGGTGGCCAAACAAAACTATGGCTTCATCAGTCAATGAAGTCCACAACTCCTGGTTGGAGTCCTCGGGATGGTAAACACCAATGAAGGTTGGAGACAATTGGTGATATGGCTCAAAATCGTTCTCAATGGCTGGCGCAGATGCATCCATTTCTTGTGACTTATAATATCCAATAAAACTATATTGTTCTTCAATATTACTATTCTTTTTGCATCATGTCTCTGTTTTGCATCTCTTTTTACCTTTTTCTCATGTCTTGTTTGCTAAGTGAAGTGTAGCGACTTGAAGTGCTGCACATTGGTGCAAATTTCCACGTTGATACCAATCAGTCAGTCATCCAGATCGCTAAAGCCTTGGCAATGCCAAGTATACGGAAGCTTGACTTTTGACGGAAGGCTTCTCTTGACTTTGTAGATGACTTTGAATGAAAATTCTCCTTGCACATATTGAGTGAGCAGTGTTGAATAGATGTTCAATTAAAGCACTACTTATTATTGATCCACTGTCACCTTTTTTGTAGGCAAACAGGATAATGTTCTTTGACTCTTTCATATAAAACACTCATCGAACGACCTATGTACCTCGCTCTAAATAAGCAAGTAAATTAGTAGATGCATATGGCCGCGGCACTAGCTAAAGGGGACTGCAGAGAACAGCGATAAATGAAGATGTACTGTTGAGGCCGTATGTTTCACTCAGAATCCGAGGGGATAATAATCATACATTAAATTGTAGAGCGGTTAGGATTCCTGACTCTCACCCAGACGGCCCGGGTTTGACTCCCGGCGCGGAAGCGCTTTTGAGTGAGTCGGTGGCGCAGCGGTTAGGACACTCGCCGACCATGCACATGGTCCGGGGTTCGATACCCGGCCACCGACGCACTCCTTTACCTCACTAAGCCAGCAGTGAGACTGGTAAAGCGGAAAGGCTGGGTAGCAACCCCATCCTGTAAAAATTAACACTGCTACAGAAACTTCAAGCCACTAGCTTGAAGCCCTATATTCCACTAGGAAAGTGAAGGAAAAATAATTGCAGAGCAGTAGTTTAGAAGTAAAAATTCCCATAAAACAACAATTGAAAATTGACCTACCACTTAACCACAACTAACTATACGACGAAGTTTCAAGAGTTTCAATAAATACAAGTGTGAGGGAAAAACGATAGTAATATGGAAGAACAAAATAACTTTATTGGGTATTATATATCACAAGGATTGGATGCATTTGCGCTGTCATTGACAACAAGGACTTCGAGACATATCACCAATTGTCTCCAGCCACTGTCATTGGTTCTTACCATCCTGAGGACATCAACTAGTCTGTCAGTCTACACCTCCTTACGTGGCTGGCTTACTGGATTAAACTAAATGTTATGCATTTCATTGGCTGACGTTTGACCACTACGTGTTAGCTCTTTTCAAACCTAATCCATCCTATGTTAGTCAGCTAACATTGCCCGTTGCCGGAAAGGGCTATTGTTAAGCCAGGCATGCGCAGAAACACATGTCCTAACCATATCCCTCTTAATAGATGTAACTGCTTCACAACCTGCCTAACCTCAAAGTTACACAGACTATTATAGCCTCCACCTAACACACATGGGAGATAGAACACAGGCAGACACGTATGATGAAAGACTGCTATCTAACCATGCTTTTCATGTACTCCACTTTCAGTGTGGGTCGTGTCTCACTCACAGCCAGCCAGTTAGGCAGCTGAATATCACACCTACTAAGACAGAGATGGCGTAAGTTGGCAAGCTAATGCCACAGGAGCCCATTGTATCTGTAATGTGATTTTTTTAGTGATCAACCTGTTGAAGCCGTACTAACTTCCTAAATACGCTTCAATACACTCCACCCAGCACTTCACTGCTGCCCATCTTTAAGCTAGAAGTCTCTGCTGTCCAGCAACTCCTGAAGCCTCATCATCCTACATTTGACAGGAACGAATCGCATGCCAGATATTCAAAGATTCCTGCCCCTCAAGGTGTTCAGAAAAACCAATATTTTGTCAGTGTCTTCACCTAAAAGAACTACATAATCTGCATGTTCTAAGTCAACGAGATTACTCCCTGGTGGTAACAAGTCAATCCCTGATTCACTGAAGTCAGTTACAGTTAAGTCCATTAGCACATACATCAATGATGAAATTAGATAGAAATGGGGGACAGTGGGCATCCCTGACGCAGACACCACTGGTTGTCATCACAGTTGTCAGATGATAACTCTCCGTAGGTTCTCACCCCGGCTGGCTGGCTGACTGCATGAGTTCGAGTAGATCAGTCCGTTGACCAGTGCAATCCAACAAACGGGGGACGGGAGACCTGCCTACTACACATTATTTTATAAAATATACGCCGCTACTACTATTGCCTACCTCACGATAGTCGGAAGACAAGGAATAATAGTAAGTCATTATTGGAGAAGTAAAATTAAAAAAAAAAGATAAATGCAAAAGGATACACATATACTGAAATGCCATAATGATCGACCAGATGCTTTTTTAACAAGCGTTCGATAGCATACCATGTAAACACTTGACTACCATGTCCCAATCGAGGGATATGAACAGAACCTGGAGAGAAAAACACATAAACAAAAAAGGAAGGTTAGCTAAAAGGTTTAGGCAGTTAATAATTGAGTACTTCATTCACCGCAATATATAGTATAACGATGTTGATTTTTACGAGTTGATCACGGATTGATATCAGTTAGAAAACCAGTCAAGGAGTACTGGACAGCTGTTTCGGCAGACTAGTTTGGGAATCATCGCCATTACGCACTCACTAGGGTTCGAACCCAGGACCTTCCGGTTACAAGGTAGACTCGGATACCATTCAGCCACTGGGACCTGATACAATGGATCATGAATTGGTACAAGTTAGAATTTATGAGCCATTGAATCGGGCCCCAGTGGCTGGTATACGAGCTTGCCCTGTAACCGGAAGGCCATGGGTTCGAATCCTGGCGGTGGGTGCGTACTGACGATGATCCCCAAACTAGAATGGAACATTTGTCCAGTGCTCCCTGACTGGTTTCCAATGGTTCTCTAACTGATGACATCAATCCGTAATCAACTCGTAAAAACAAAACTAACTCTTACAAACCAACTATGGAGATAACGATATTGAGTCATTAAAATATAAGCACAAAATACACTCCGTCCCACTCGACTAGTTGTGTGGTGAGACCTGGCTGCAAACCAAAAACTGTAGACAGCAGTTTACGTCAATGTTTATGTCCCGAATTGCAGTCATGAAAAAAAGCAATAATAAGGCTTAACCTTGAGGAACTCACCACACAATCACATCAGAATTAACGTGCGGAAATACGCTTCGCAGATATACGGCTTAACTTTCTAAGAAACGGTCACAAGCGGTAAAGAATAACCTTCAGCATGAAAACAACCAATCAGAAGACGTTACTTCTCTGCTAACAATAACGCTAATAATAATGTACATAAAAGTCAATAAATATCTCTCGATTTTCTCAATAAACGATCTGTTGCCTGGCCCTTGTCCCCTATCGTTACAGTAAGTCTGTTTTCTTTTTGTGTTTGAGTTAAGCACTGAAAATGTTGTCTAGTAGGATAATGAAACATACATCATCATGTTATCTAGCTTAGGGTAAAAGAACAAGACCAAAAACATTCACAGCTGAGAGCTAAGAGTAGAACAAAGTTGTATATAACAGACAAAATAAAATTAAGTGAAGTTTAGGCGTGATTCTTAGTAATATCGAAGATGCTAAGCGGTGAATACATCTGTATCATTGTGAATGAGTCATATCATAAACAGTTTTTAATCACTTCGTATCATATTATTGCCTTGAGGACATGAGCGAGTTGGACAGCCGGAATCATCCCGGATCCATTTATTTAGCTAGAGGGTGATAGCGATCACTTCCACACCTGAAGAGAGGAGTGAGTTCTTCAGAAAAAAGCTAACTTAAAGTTTTCCCTATGACTTCTAACAGTAAGTGAGAACATAAGTGAAAGAGGCTAGGCAGCAAGTAATAAGTCATAGGTATCAAATATTTAGGCTTGTTAGGCAAATGGTTAGTGGGGTTCCATTTTAGTATTTTTTTTTGCCTCACATGTGTGCTTATTATGTCTCTTTGGAATCTCTGTTTACTGTTTTCTCTTGCTTTGTGTGCTACATGGAGGGAAAGTGGCAGCTGGAACAGCTGCACATCTGTGGAAAGTCAATCAGGGTTGGTCTCCAAGATGCATGGAACTTTATTAACATCTTAAAGTGTCTTTACATTATAGCAGCCCATAACGAAACTGTCTAATATGTGAACAGATTAATGACCCTGAGCAACCAATCAAATGAGTCCGTAGTATATAAGCGCAATTATGGATGCTGTACACGAATCACACGGCGAATTTCATCTAGATCGATTATTTAAGTACTGTCGGGATAACAGGCTCATTATAGGAATTGAGAAAATGTGTAGATGTGGAGGTGTGATGCATTCACAAAGATACACCTGCTGAATTGATGGATTAGGCTAAAGGTGCAAAGACTGCTGAAGCAGAAAATCAGTTCGAGAAGGTATGTCGTTCTTATTTTAGTTTATGGATGTTTTCTTCGCCAAGTCGAAGTTTCGCCTCTAACGAAAATTATGATATGTCATAACTGCGTCCTGAAAAGACCAGTTACCACTACCATATTCGGAACAAAGAATTCAGAAGTGTCTGCAGTACAGCGTTATCAGTACTGCAGAGATATAACATTATGGAAAATGAACAATATGATGCAAATACTTGGAGACGTTGTTGACTTTGTGTTCATGTGGAGGAGACAGTGCTTATAAAAGAGGAAATATAATCGAGGTAGATTAAGTGCCAATCAGCAGTGGGCATTAGAATGACATGACACCACCCTGAGCAAAGAATATATTCAGACGATTCCTGATCGCAGTGCCGATGTTTTATTGACTATTATTTAACTTTCAGTACTGCCTGGCACAACGATTCACACAGATTGATGGAGTTGCTATAGCCATCTGTCATCCCTAGGCTATATTCAGAACGTAGTCAATCATACAGACAATTTCGTCAATCCTCTCAATAGGGACGCGCGACTTTCGGATTATGGGACCAAGCTAGCTGACTATTCAAACCAGTTGGACTGGAATTCAATGAAATATGAATTTCACATTTGTCAATTCGTGATACACAGCGATACGCCTAACCATTACCCTGAATGAGCATCCAACTTCACTTTGACACGTGTCATTGAGTTCTGTCTTAAGTGGCTGAGAGGTCAACGAGCTTAATCTATTAATGTGAAGCTTCAAGATTCGATCCCTGACGGAGTTGTGGATGGGGAATGCTGACGAGCCCCGACATAGGACAAAACAGTCGTCAAGTGCCACATAGTTCGTCATGGAACTTAACAGCTGGAATCAAATCTATCCAAATCGAACTTGACAAATTTTTGAATTTCATATTATCTACATGACTCGTCTAACCTCAATATATTATACAACTGCTTGATGAATTACCCTACAATCCGTAAAGAATCTCAGTTATTTCATGAGGACTAGTGAGGCTAATCGACTGCCTTTAAAACTCAGTAAGTGGATCAGGAATCCGACTTGTATGACTCGGTCAGAGTCACATACTACTGCTCCTCTAACAATAAAAAAAATCAATGAAAAATAAATAAATAAATACAGAATAATTCAATGCTGTTGTGTATAGTGATACAGTTTGTATAACTTACCAGCTTTAAGACGAGCACATGTCATTCCTAGAGCAGATAAACATCGTTCTAATGCGCGTAAATCCAAGTCTGATCGTACACCGAAATCTGAACGATTACGACGGATATGTTTTTGTACAACTAACAGACCACAAAAATTAGTTGACCAGTGAAGATCATTCGAGGTGGAAGAGGAGGAGGAGGAGGCAGTTGTCTCGTTTAAATGATGATTGAGGCAGTCATCAAAAGTCTTTAATAATATTTCATCCACAAAGAAAAAAGAAAAATAATAATGATAATGACGATGCGGTACAATGTAAAGAAACAATTTATTATTATTATATCCTTTAATTCCTAGAGTAACATAGGGCTTCAGCCGCACATCTCCATTGCGTTCGGTTTTCTGCCAACTTTTCACCCCGCTCCAAGTCTGCCAACATACACTTTCGTCTCCTATTCACATGACCTACTCCAGGTCACCCTCTCACCGACGAACAACTCGCCACTTCCATTTCGGGGTCCACTCGAGCGATAACTTGTCTAGTGATGTCACTTGCTGGTTTCCTCAGAGTATGGCCAGCCAATCCATCTCCACTTCTTCCTGCTTTTCTGTTTCATAATCAGTTACTGATTGGTTCTCTCATTGCCAGAGATCCCTGTTGCTGATGTTTTCTGGCCATCCATCTGATCTTGAGTATTGAGCGAAGACAACTGTTAGTGAAGGTCTGAAGTTTGTTTGAGATGCTCTTTATGACGCGCTGGCCAAGTCTCTGATCCGTATAGTAGCACTGACTGACTTCACATTGGAGTTGAAAATCCAGATCTTATTCTCATTTTCATGCTGAGTAGGGCTGTTAACCTCCACACAGACTTGAGAAAGATGAAAGCTTGTCTTGCTTTTCCGATTCTTGCCTTGATATCCTCATCAGTTCCGTCGGCCTGTGGTTGAAACGATGCTTCCCAGGTGGGTAGAGGTAGGCAAAGGAGGTTGTTTCTTTCAGGTTCCTCCCATTAATGCTGATTATTATCTGCTGTTGTCGCTGTGGCTGTTTGTGTTGGCCAGGAGTCCTCATCACCTCTGTTTTATCTATGTTCACCTGAAGTCCTATCTTTGATGCTTCTTCTATCGCAAAGTTGTTGTTTTCATTCGCATACCCTCCAGTTTGTGGGAAATCAGACATATATCATCCGCGAAGTCCAGATCCTCCAAGTTTTTCTTTTTGTGTGAGTCCATTTTATGCCTGTTTCCTCGCTACCTGCTGTTTATCGCATTATCCAATCTGCCGCAATCAGGAAAATCATTGTCGATAGTAGACAGCCAGCTTGTCTTACTCCCGTCTTTACTTCGAAGGGTTTCGTAAGTTTCTCGTTGTGGATTACTTAGCATACACCATTGTCGTATAACTGTTGGATGAGATGTATAATTGTCGGTGGAACGCCGTAGTGGCGATCGATGCTGTCTGTCGATACCTTTTCAAAGTCGATGAAGTTGAGATAGAGAGGTGACTGCCATTCCAAGCCTTGTTCAATGATGATCCGTAGTGTGGAGATTTGATCAATACATGACTTGTTTCTCCTGTGTCCAGCTTGTTCCGGTGGAAGTTTTTCATCCAGGACAGTGTGTTTGATTCTCTCCAAGATGAGGCGGCTTAGTATTTTGCTTGGGATGGAAAGGAGCATAATTCCGCGCCAGTTCTTGAATTGACTTAAGTCTCCTTTCTTTGGCAGTTTGAATAAGTTTCCTTTCTTCTAATCCTCGGGTACCTTACCCTCTTTCCACACCTTCTCCAGTAGTGGTGTCATCAAAGATACAATTTACTTCTTGTTTTATTTAAAACAATGAGTCCCTTTTATAAATTTGGATAGTGTTGTGATTGTCTGTCTGTCTGTCTGTTTTCGACAGACAGAAAGTGTTGTGATTAGCAGAAGCAGATTATCCGAAAAATGCGGTGTGATGTATTTGTGCTATACATTTTGAACAATCTGATCCCTCACACATTTACTTTCAAGTCGATATATATGTGAAAAAAATTAAGAGCAACTAAATTAAACATAGTGAGGAAAAAAGGATTAAAAAATGATTAACACAGCGTTTGATAATAATCCAATCAAATAAGGATTACCAAGGTAGGTTAAGAGTAATTATAAACTGTTTTGGAACACACAAGGGAAGGGGTGGGAGGAGCTTGAGTTTATGAATAGCCATAGCCTCAGCGTACTTCAATAAGCGCCCTTGACCATTTTTAAAATAGATGACGTTAAAGGCTGAGTTAACATCAACCGCATGGGTCATCTCGATTAGATGTTTAGCTATAGAGGAAGTTGGTAGTCTGACACCTGCATCTATTGATTTTCCACAATTCATTTGTCTTTTCTAACCATTTCGGGATATGGTCTCCCACGCCTTCATATGCAAAGCACGACTACTTCTCCCTATATATGTGTGTTTAGCAACACATGAAAATTGGTGAATAGTATGGGATGTGACATAATCACTTGTGCACTTTCGAGGTTTGCAGTGGAGCATATTTTTGACTTTTTCGATAACTACAAGCTGGGCTGCATAATAATAGGTTCTATGGATGATCGAATTCAACCTTTGTCTCGAAATCCTACTGTTTATTTCTCTGTTATAGGGTAATTTGATGATGAAGTCAAGGTTAGGGTACTCTGTCCGATCGCTCAGACGCAAGCGGGTGGTTGTCATAACGGAACACTTCTTCAGCCTTTGACTTAGAGTTTGATCCACAGCAAAAAAGTGGAGGGGGGGAGTTAGAGTCAGGAGCCACTTTCCTATGGTTTTCAGTAAATGAAACAGGTGCATACACCATTCGATGTGTTCGGAATGTGGAGCTTATATACACCATAATACTGGAATGAGGATTTTCCAGATCCCCTAGGTAGACCAACATGCCCACTAGTTCAGATGTAATCGCCAGATGTTCGAATTCGCCCTTTCACTTTAGTGAGGAACACCCTCGCCGCGTGAAGGTAGTGGATAGGAACTACCTGGTAGAGGCTATGAAGGCGTGACCAAATTAGAGCATTTAGAGAGTAAGACATCGGTCTAACCACCCTCGACTATCCCAGGTTATTTATACAATTACGAACACAAGTAATATACACCAAAAAGAACATCAACAGACAACTATACGCACACACACACACATCTGCACGACCAGTTTATTCGAAAGGTACATACACACACATATATATATATATTGCAAATTATATTTCAAGCTAACCGAAATTTTCTTCTCCCTTAACGATAAATTATCAGGATCCAAAACTGGGATAATTAAACAATCGCCCAAGTTTAAATCATCCATTTGACCGGCTAATTCATAGGCATTTTTGATTTGACCATTACATTGTGTATCCAATACGCGAAAAATACCACCATGGCCCCATTTTCCACTATCATCTATTAAAACATTGCAAAGAATTTAGAATACACAAATAAAGCCTGATGAACAGTGTGTAAGTACAATAGTAATTAGTTCAGGATTACTTTTTAGTGTTCTGGTTGGTTACCAGGGGGGATTTCATTGACTTTCCAGTTAGATCACAAAGTAAAAGCCCAAGTATGCAATATATACTTAGAGAATTGAAACAAAAACTGAGGAATTCAGTTTGGTTCTCAATAGCTCCCAAGACAAACACGGCCGCGAGATTTTATGGAAGGCCAAAATTACATAAAATAAACGTTCCTTTAAGACCAATAATCGATTTTACCAATTCAGTAACATATACTTTATCAAAATACATATCACGAATACTGAAACCACTTCAATACAATATTCCTTCGAACATCAAAAATATTGATGAATTTAAAAAGAAAGTAATGGATATAATTATTGAAGAAGACGAGATTATGGCAAGTTTTGATGTGGTTTCTTTATTTACTAGTATTCCTATATGTGAGTCACTCGATATTATGAAATATGAACTTGAAAACAATCAAGAAGTATTAACTAAATCTTTATTATCAATAGATGAGGTTATAAAATGTTTAAAACTTTGTTTGGAATCAACATATTTTACATTTAAAGACAAACTATACTGTCAAACAAATGGAGTTGCAATGGGTTCACCAGCATCTCCAATTGTAGCAAACTTATATATGAAAGCCTTAGAAAAGAAAGCATTGACAAGTCTTAGCTGTCATCCTAGAATATGGTACAGATACGTAGATGACACATTTATTGTCATAAAGAAAGCTGAAAAAGAAGACTTTTTAACAGAAATTAACTTAATCTCAGAATATATTGAGTTTACGAATGAAATAGAATCGGCGGAGGGAACTCTAAACTTTCTTGATTGTCTTGTAAAAAGACAAACTGACGAGAAACTAAAGTTTACCATATACAGAAAGCCGACACATTCCAATAAGTATTTGAATTTCCAATCAGATCATCCAATAGGAATGAAAGTCTCAGTAGCTTTAAATCTCTTTAACAGAGCTAGAAACATTATAACAAATGACGATATGGAGAACGAGATAACCAATATAAAACAGATTTTGATTGGAAATGGTTATCCTGAAAAGCTACTAGATAATATCATCAATAGAAAAGCATAAAGAAAAACAAAAAGTTGAAAAATCCTGGCTATCGACGATAGCCATTCCATATCGAAAAGACACAGCTAACAACTTCAAAGACTATTTGCTGCATATAATATTAAAGTCTATGTCAAACCTTCTAATTCTCTAGAGAAAGCGTTAGTGCATGTCAAAGATATAGTTCCCAAAATGTCACAAAGTAATTGTGTCTACAAGATAAAGTGTTCAGAATGTGAGGCATGCTATATAGGGGAGAGCAGTAGGCAGGTGAAAGTCAGAGTGAATGAACATAGACTTTGCACGAAACGTCCACCTAGAAATGAAGTAGAATTAAAAAGTCTAGAAAAAAGATCGGCTATAGCAATGCATGCGATAGACAGCGGACATAAGATTGATTTTGACAATGTCGAAATTCTTGGAAGAGGATTTCATTCACATAAAGAAAGATTGACTTCGGAAGCCTTGCACATTTTAACCACATCAAATGCAGTGAATAGGAAAGAAGGTATAGACTTATCACCTATATGGCAAACTCTTATGAAGCAAGACAAATGAAAAAACAACAAACACTCTATGAGCCTCCATGACCTTTAAAACATGTAGTGACACGTTTATCACATATGAATTCACGTATTTTCCATATGACAAATAACATACATACACACACACGCATACAAATCTAATCTTTACAAATCAACTATAGAAGAGTAAACACAACAACAATTTGACATTATCAAGTGTTGGTTTTGTAGGGATTTGGTTTGATTGTATGGAGGATGTCAGCTCATGATTAAATCCTCCATACAATTTGACATTAGTCATTACAAATATATGTGAGGACAGCTAACATACTTCTATTGGTAAAAAATGTCCATGGACAAATGACCTTCAAATAAACTGACTTCATTTTATGTAAAAATTTTGACTATATATTTTGATGATTAATTATAATCCGAATAAATCTGCTGAAGAAGCTGTGGCTTACACGGCAAAACGTTCAGAAAAATCTTGTTTTGATTTTCTTAACACGCTGGGATTAATTTAAATAATTTATAATGAATCAATCTGACTCGGCGCTCAAATTATTCCAGGAAATTCGTAATACCTACGGTCTGGAAACCTATAATCTTTTATCCTGTTTAGAAAACCTTATTTTTCGTCTAAACATGACTCACCACCTTAACCCATCTAGCCTTTTTTGGCTATTTTAGAGAAATGTATTTTCAGTGTTTACGTAAGTTACTAGTTGTTATAGTGTTTCCAGTTAAACTTTGTTTCTATTCAGCAAAAAATTTCTGTTGAACACTTTCATTTTGATTCCAAGCACAGTCATCTAATTACTTCATTCCATCATTTCTGACTAATGTTACTCTTAGTTTCCACTAATTACTCTGTGTCATCGTAGAAAAAGTATGTTAAAATCTTTAAAATAATTTATACTTTTGTTTCAGGATTTTATCAGGAACTAGCATCGGTTAGAGGACCATTAGAAGACCAGCACTCCAGTACTGGACAGCTGTTTCGTCAGACTGGTTTGGGGCTCTTCAGCAGGTACACACTCACTCATCCCATTAGGAGTCTGTTATGTTGCTGCTGCTGAGGGGTTAATAGTAGTTTTCCCCGTCGCCAAATTATTGTTATGTACTGGTCGAGAATTTAATAGTCCTGACGCAAGAAAGCGGAAATCAGAAGACCACTAGGTTTGTGATGATACTTCTATTTTCCAAACACAAGGAGAAGTAATAAGTGGTATCACACCAAAGTGGTGTCACACAAGATTGTGAGAGCGAAATATATATGAATGTCCAGACAAGTGTGTGAACAAATCAATAGACAGTCTTAACATGAATGGTTAATTATAATGAAGTATCGATCCATACATACATAGCAAAATATAGCAGACATGTCAACAACCACACATATAATATGGATATATGTCACCAAGCAACGGACTGTCAACAAACACTCATATTATATATAATATAAGGGGAATATACATTGTTAAAGGAGACAGGCTCATCAAAGTGAAATGGTCACAGACTAAGAGAGCAACAGAAAGAGAGATCACCATACATATATATATGGATACATATCAGGGTCGGACCCAAGACCATCCCAGTTACAAGGCGGGCTCGTAGACCATTACGCAACTGATTCTCAAAGGTTACAGACCATGTTGGCCTCTATAGTTTAACTCCACGTATTGTCGAAGTAACCGAAATTCAGACAGCTCGTTAAATACATCAGTGTATACTAATGGTAGTATAGTTTATATATATATATATATATATATATATATACCGAGGAAACTTAGATATACAATATTAACAAAAGAAGAATTAGAGTAATGAATTAGGCTGTCACATTCGCCACAGTATGCTATATAAGATTAGAAAACGAATAAACAAGCTCATATGACTAGTCTACTGTATCACAAACACATTAAATATGCGAATGGAAGAATATTTACAAATCATACCCTATCAACCTCTCTCTCTCTCTCTTCCCACTTTCGGAGAGACGGAGCTTCCTGGAGTTCTAGTGAGAAGTCGTGACTAGTGGGGTTCCATGTGGTCGGGAGCGAGCGAGGACATATATTCACCAGCAGTGACATTGGCCTAGTGGTCACGAATTGGCAGATGTTAGAGTTCATGGGCTGACCATTGAGGAGTCGGGTCCCAATAACTTAATGGTCTATGAGTTAGCTTGCCTTATAACCGGAAGGTCCTGGATTCGACCACAGTGGTGGGTGCGTACTGGTGATGAGTCCCATACTAATCTGACGAAACAGCTGTCCAGTACTCCCTGGTTTTAAATGGTTCTCTAACTGATATCGATCTGTGGTCAAACCTCTCCCTGCAAAAGCAATAGTGTCACTGCTATTCAAACACTGTAAAGGCTTGAAGCCTCCCATGTTCCACTTAGGATGTAAAGAACAACTATTTGTGTTAAACTAGATTCTGGGAATCAGAATTCCCAATTCGTCTTAGTGTTATAGGCAGAGTTAAACAAATTATGCTAAAATTTATCAATATCAGAACAGTCTCACTAACTCAAGGCAGTCTGATACCTATTGGTTGCCTTCTTCTTTTTAGCTGAGTACGCTTAGAATTGACAGAAGACCTAGTCTAAATGAACGTGAACATTGATCGTTTGTCTATTGGAACTAGTAGCCATTGGCGGGCAACTCAAAGCCGCGAATGATTCAATCGTGTACAAGTTGGAAGAAGACAAGAGAATACGAATAAAAGTACACAGTACATTCCTTGTAAAACATTTGTTTCTAGACTTTTGTACGATAAAGATTTTAACTGTCAAACAATACACTTTCTTTCTTACAAGTCTTTGTGTTTTAGAGTTAAAGTCGACAATTGTTCACAGTAATTATCAATTTGGAGTGTCTTCGCGAATAATAGGAACTTAGGGTTAAGTTCTTTGACACCTAGTGTTATGATAACATATATTCATTTGATAACTGGACATTAGATGTGGTAGCTGCAATGAAATGATAAGCTGGTTTGGCTGTTGAGTGTCGTAGCTAAACTGATCATAGAATCAGATTATTAATTCGCAGATCAAGTGGCTGCTTCATTCCTTGACTGGCCAACTGAGTAATGCATCTAGTCTCCAGGTTAGAGTAGACTGAGTCCTACAATTCAAGAAGTTTGCAATGCTGTCACATCATGCTACATGACTCACCATCACAGGGCAGTACACTGAACTGATTTTACGTGGTTTTTGAGGTAATCGGCAGGAAATCTTGTACCTGGGTTTCCAGCCAGTAAAACGTATCTACAATTTTGAAGTAACGCATCATATTCTCCCAGAGATTAGAACCGGGGTCATCCAGTCGCTTCACTGAGAGACGTTACCATTGAGTTATTCAGGCTCATGGCTGACCTTCTGTAAGACTGCAATGGATACTTTGATCGGTCATTAGGCAGTATAACCAATATGTCATGTATGTCTGGTCCTTGGCAGTTGGTGCCGACTGAATCTAATCAGTTCTAGGGCACATAAATCATCAGTCTGAACACCTTAGTGATAACATCTCTTAACTGGATTATTGGATAACCCGGTTTCAAAACTCAGAGGGGAAAGGAGTCCCTACAAGAATATAGATAGGCCTTGCTGAGGAAAGCCAGCGATGTGATTTTTTTCTGCCCTAACACTCAATGCTATCCCTACATGAGTGAGCCGTCGCGAGCTAGCTGAGGAATCTCCTGACACCCTGTAGGTGAATTTTTCTCCAACATGAAGTTAGCGGTGTAGCTTTGAGAGGCTATCAGGGATGTTTTCTCGGCTCTGAACGTTAGTTGTGGTCACATAATAAAATGAAAATGACTGTAGAATAGTATTGACAGTAGTAGGGAATTAAAATGATGAGGGTGATGTGAATAAAGGAGAATGATGCTCAGGAGGGCTTCGTGTGCTTTTGGAAGTGTGTGAGCGGTTGTTACTTCCCGACTGCCCCCACACCGTGGAAGTAGACTGATTCTTCGGGTACCTGAAACATAAAGAGGGTGAGTGTTGCGTGACCGCAGAGTGCAGGGGACAACTGCTTGAGGCTCGTCGCACTAGTTTTTTGATTTGGTTCCGTGTTAGTACCTTACCGCCGGCTACAGACCACCGTAGGTGTGGTAAGTGGGGATATACAATTTTTAGGGTCGACCTTTTCTAACCCCCTCTCTCCAGAGTGGTGATCTGAAGACAACACCTTGCTGCTGTTATATCCGTGTTTTCCAAGCAGTACGACTTTGCCCACAGACCCCCCAGCATAGTGTGAAAATAAATCTTACATATTGCCGATAACTGCTTTTAGTCTAATCGTTATCCTAAGAATCTTCCTGGCAAGGTAGGACCTGCAGGAGGTCCATAGATTCCTGATGATTGCATCCAGTCATCTAACATCGACTTAATCATTGTTTCACATGTGAATAGAGAAATATTTTTCAACAAAAATAAGCACACTTACCAACTGAAACACAAACAAAATATGGTGGATTCCCGTCAACATTATAATCATCATTTCTTGATTGATTTTTAGCGAAAATACTTAACGGTTTAGTAACATCACCAATTTTATAGTAAATATCAGCATGTGGTTTTCGATGATTAAGAGACTGTGCATCATTTTCATCATGATCATCGTCATATTCTAATTCGTTGCATTCGTTAATAGTATTGCCATCGATGTCCTCATCATCATCCGCCTCTTCTCCTGTAGGATTAGGATAATGCCGTGATTCTGCCTCAAGAGATTCTTCTCGAAAAACACTGAATGTACGATAACCAACAGATTGCCACATTGAAGCTCTGAAATGTTTTTGAAAAATAAATGTACAAAAGAGAATGCAAGTAGAAATGTACACACGACAAAAAAGGTAGCTATACACAGATCGCATAATAAGGATTTAAATATCTTCATTGAGTCACATAAAAAGAGGTGTTCAGCGAGGAGTTAGTCTTTTCGGCGATATCATTATCAAGCTGTACAACTGCATATAAAAAATACATATGCAATGTTTTGATCGGACATTAGTAACTGGTGTGATGTGTCTAGTTCTTTCCTCGGTGCAGATTGAATTCCATCAGTCAGGTTTGCAATGTGGTCTCGATGTACATTGATTTGATGATATCAGATGGTTGGATGCGATCTGCAGGAAGCCTCATCTGATCTGGGTTTCGTGCTAGTTGGCGGTCACCAGTCAGCAAGGCGTATCTACAACCTTAGAGGAACTCATGTCCCCCATCTGAGATTCTAACCTAGAATGGTGGCCGCATTGCGAACATGACTGATAAAATTCAGTCTGTACCAAACAAAGGACTAGACACATCACACTAGCCACTGACTAGTGTTCAATCGAAAGTATCCAATACAGTCAGTCCCACAGGAGGTCAATCGCGAGTCCGAATAGCTCAGGCGTAACATCTCTGACCGACTGTAGTACTGGGTGACGCGGGTTCAAATCTCACAAGGGACATGAGCTCCTTCAAAGCGGTTGCAGATACACCTTGCTGACGAGTGCCAACTAGCACGAAAGCTAGATCGAGCAAGGCTTTCTGCCGACAGCCTCCAACCATCTAATATATGCGATGTGTCATTAGCATTGTAAATTCTTAGGTAACAAATTACCTAATGTGGAAAGCTTTAATCGAGTATAAACTCAAATGAAATTCAATAAGTAAGCTGAGTGGCGTAATATAACTAACGGGGTTCAGTAGAATTCAACTAAAATTGGACGAGAGAGAGAGAGTCAAGTTAACAAGAGGGGGAGTAATAAGGGGGCAGAGATTCAGTAGGAGGTGGGGGAAGCAAATAATATGATCAAGAAACAAAAAAAACAAAAATCAAGTGTTTCGTATTGAGATAGATCAAATCGATTGCAGATTTAACTGACTGAACTGAGTTCAGGATTTAACATGTGAATTGCCATTGCTTCTGCTTTGTTTGAAGAAGTTTGATTCGTAATCTTTTAGCGAGAATGGTTGGGGTCGCGCTAAATCACGAATTGGTAGAAGTTAGAATTCATGGGCTGGTCATTGAGGAGTTGGGTCCTACTAGCTGAATGGTATACGAGTTAGCTTGTCTTGTGACCGGAAGGCCCTGGGTTTGAACTCTAGTGGTGAGTGCGTACTGCCGATGATTCCTAAAACTAGGATGAAACAGCTGTCCAGTACTCCCTGTGGCTGGTTTTCAATGGTTCTCTAACTGATATCAACCCCACTCCTCCCCCCCCCCCACTACCACCACACAGTAAGTGTGTGGCTCATAGTGCCTGCCACGTGAAATATCCGTTTTGTGTAACTGAGATCCAAATTGATGATCAGTATACAGCTTGGCCATTAATCCAAAGGAGAATGTTTTGCAGTAGTATTAGATAGGCATCTGACATTATAAAGGCAACAAAACTTAGTTATCTACTAATATTATAAGCGTCAAGTAACTCAGTGGTGGGTAGAATACTCACACCAACCACGCGCATGTGGTCCGGGGTTCAATCCTCTGCCGACAACGTACTCCTAAACCTCTCTAAGCCAATGGTAAGGCCGGTAAACCAGAAAGGTTGGGCGTGAGGCTGGCAATCCCATCCCTGTAAGAAAAAAAAACTCCAAAGCTCCCGCTTGAATATACAAACGAATAACATCGTTAAGATAGCCAGGTTTCCGTAACACTTACTTCTTCTCTAAGCGTGCCTTCCTTTGTTTAATTTTATTTTCCATTCGTTTCTGTTGACGTTCAGCTAGCATTTCAGCAACCTAAATGATTTAAAAATATTGATTAAAACATGATAATTAATCATAAACAGAAATGCTACACAAACTATTAAATAAAAAAGGCATCTCTATTGTTATCTATGGGGTCATCGAGAATCTGAGGAGTTGCAGAGACTGTTGTTGATACGGTCTAAAATTGTTACAGTTTAAGTTAACTTAAACTTTTCTACTGATTGATTATGCCTGACTACAATACACAGTCCGCTGCCGACATGTTGGCTTCGTCGATGTTTGAAGATTAACACGATGTCATTGTAGTTGATCTTGACTAGCAGGGGAATATAGGATGCGTATTTCGTCCTATTTCGAACTAACTAGCCCGCTAGATAGGCTTGCATCCTCGGTGAGATATTGTGCATCTATTGAAACCACATACCTGCACACAATGACAGTAACCGATACGCACTGCACAAGATGAGGCTTTCGTGGACACCAGTAGCTCTGGTGGATAGTGTTTTGATTTGGCATATGTGTGAGTCTCAGTAAGGAACGCCACCACTACATCCAACTGACGAGTTCCCAAAAAGGACGAAATGCGCATCCTCGATTTGACTGCTAGTCATTACCAACCAAAATACAATTAGAATCCCAACAACGGGCAAACTTGAATTTATTATGTGCACAATTTAGACCTTCAAAAATCGGTGGTAACTCTAGATACCGTATCTGTGGTCCTCGCGTCAAATGGTCTTAAGCTTAAGCCCTCCAAATGTCAGATGGTTAATTTCACTTTCAGACGCAAGTGCGACTTACATGAAGTGGTTAGTTCGCACAATTTCACTATCATCGATGGCACTGAAGTTGAAACCAAATCGAATGTGAAATACCTTGGACTGTGTGCATTTCATCTGATCACCTTTCTTGGTCTTTCCACATCATGTTAATTTCTAGAAAGATATTTCATTTGACCTTCTTTGTAAAGAAGTTAAGACAACCTGGTACTATTCCGTCTCTGCTGTTAATTACTTTACTTTACTTTGATCATACCTTCATTCCACACCGTATTTTTGGTACTAGTATGGAATTTTCAGCATGTGATATCGGTAGCCCAAATTTTGCAGTCCGATTATTGATATCGGGTGTGCGTCGGCAGGGGATCGAACCCCCAACCATGTGCATGGTCGGCGAGAGTCCTAACCACTGTGCCATTGACGCACCGTTTGTTAATTCATGTATTCTTCCTGTCCTTCTTTACTGCTCTCCTCCCCCTAGCTTAATCTTTCCCTGGCTACTTAAGAAATGACAACTTTGTTATACTGCGAGAGGCACTAAAAGCTGTCAGTAGGGCGAGTGGGGTGTTTCTAAACTAACTCGTTAATACTGTTATAGATAGACACCTGGACTACTGTAAGAAATTAGCAAATATTGACTTGCCAAACTCTAAGCCACCTTTTTATAAACAACTCTCTCCTGGCATCTATCTCATCAGGTTGGTAGAACTAGAAGCAACTATACAAAGAAGACTGTATCCTCGGACGACTAAGTACAAAGACTCCACAATATCTTATTTTGGCAGGGACACATTTTATGTGATGAAAAAGGTATGAGACAGGAAATAATCAACTTATCGCAGAACTCTACGTAAACGGCCCCATTTTTGTTCCCATTGTTACATTGTTGTTAATGCTCGACCGATAGCTGCCACCTTCACGAGATGGTCGGCCTTGGGCGTAGTAATGACCCAACACGCTACACTGGCTGGAGGTAATGTTCCTGTAGGTCCTACCATGCCAGGAAGATTATTAGGATAGTGATCAGACCAAAAGCAGTTACCGGTTTAGTGTAAGAATTTTTTTTACACTATGCTGGGGGTCTGTGGGCGAAGTCGTGCTGCTGGGAAACAGGGATTTAACGGCAGTAAGGTATTTCCCACACATGACCAGCATGCCGCCCAGCTAAGCTGTCTCTCTACTCTCTCTCTCTCGAAGGGATTAGAAAAGGTCGACCCCAAAAATTGTACATCCTCACTTACCCCACCTACGATGGTCCGTAACCGGCAGTAAGTTTACTAATTCGGAACCAAACTAAGAAACTAGTTCCTACAGGCCGCGTGTGACGGGCCTCAAGCAGTTACCTCCTGCACTCTGCGGCCACGAAACACTAACCCTCCTTCTGTTTCAGGTACCCGAAGAATCAATCAACTTCCAGGATGTGGGCAGCCGGGAAGTAAAAACCGCCTACACACTTCCAAAAGCACACGAAGCCTCCTCGAGCATATTTTGTTGTTAATATTTTCATTTAAATTAAATTTAATATCCCTATTCTTAACTAATAGTATTAATTAATGTAAATGCCTTGCTTTAAATATTACCCCTATAATGAGAAAGTTAGATGCAATACTGTACTACATGTGGAAAATTCCATATTTTGTACCAAAAGTACTGTTTGGACAGGGGCAATTAATATATTACTACTACTTTATTAAGTAGTCAATAAAAACGGAAAGAAAATAGTAAAGACAACATCAGCATAATAGATTGCTTCACACAAAAAGGAATAAGATGGAAATCAAGCAGATAATGAATACACCTTCGTGATTAAGATCGATTTTACCAGCTTAAGGCACCGATTTTTCAATCATGACTACATGGTTCATATTTCAAACCAAAGTTAGAGTGCTTCATGAATTGGGTCTATGTGTGTGTGTGTGTGTGTTGAGTTCGTTTGAAACTGACTCCTACTTTCACAATCGAGATATATCAGAATAAACGACGGGTAGGTGAACGCAACGCACAATAAATCCGCCAAGAAGTCACTGAACTATATAGAAGAACTAAATTGACATAAGTGTTGGTGAAAACCCGAATCTGTTCCTTATACCGAGCTCAGTAGATTTCTACACTGATCACTGATCAATAAAGGTGTGTCTTGCTTGCCTTTCCATTTCTGACTGGCTTTGACAACTTTATCTGTACCGTCTGCAGTTGAAGCAATGCTTCCTAGATAAATGAAAGTGATGACCTCGTTCAAATTTCCTCTGTTGGTGCTTGTATAATTTTTGACGAAAATCAAACGAAACACACACAGACATACACATGGACATGGTGACCATCTTAAAAAAAACTTTATGAATAATTACCTTTGTAGAGTATTCAGCTGGACAATCCTACTGAGATTTATGAATTCCTTAAATATTGTTGTGTTTTTTTTCACAATTGTTGCTCGTCTTAAATTTACTACGCGCCGGCGATTCAGCGGTAGAACGCTCGCCAGGGTTCGACCCCCCGGCCGACGCACTCCTAAACCTCACTAAGCTGGTAGTAGTAAGTCCGGTAAAGAGGGAAGGTTGAACGTGTGGCTAGCAACCCCACACCCCGGTAAAAAAATAAAACCACTATTACTGTGACTCCTTAGCTCAAGCGTGAAGCCTTATGTTCCACTAGGGACTCAGAGGAATACAATAAAAATTTTAAAAATCTCAGTTTTTTGAGATTTTTTGTCCAACTGGATACTGACTCAGTAGGAGTACTCTACAACTGTGAAACACAATTAGCCTTTTGTGAAATTTATCTATTTTATTTAAGTATTGTAACAGTACGAAATGAAAAGAATGAGGAAGATTTAAAGATAAGGAAGGAATTAGTTCATCCAGAACAGCGTTAACTGCAATTTCATTTCAGACACGGAGCCGGAGGAATGATCTTGACTTTTGACTATGAACATAAATGAACTTTAATCTAGTTTTCATAAAAATAACAGTTTTGATCGGTTGAAGTCTAGCAAGTCGGGTGTATGCATTGACAGACAGCATTTGTTGGCTGTGACACTATATGTATCACAAATTGACCAGGAAGTTAAAAGTTATCAGTCGACCATTGGATTCCCTCTCAGTAGATGGAAATAGTCAGTGGGCTCTCCTCCTTCATACGACCAATAGTAGACTTTAGGAATACCCCTACTTATGAATTATCAGAACACACTTAGCTCTAATATTATGCTCCATTAGAAATCGTTCAAACTCTAGGCCAGTTGACTAATTCATATGAGATGAAAAATAAACTAAATGACATTCAACTAGAGAATGATGAAAAAATGGTTAGTTTTGATATAACTGGTCTTTATACTAATATACCAGTTAATATGGCAGCCTTAGAAGCATTTAAAAAAGAACTAACTGCAGATCTTGAACTCACCCATAGAATAAAGCTGCCCATTGAACAAATTATTTTAGGAATTCAGTTATACCTCATATCTACTATCTTTAAATTCCAAGGTAAAATATATAGACAAACAGAAGGTGTAGCAATGGAATGAATCACTAATATCCCCTATCGTAGCAGATATCTTTATGGATAGCTGGGAAAATATTGCTCTCAATACATTTAATCCTACTCCAAAAATATGGTAGAGATATGTGGATGATACTTTCACAGTGTTAGAAACAGAACACATCTCTAGCTTCTTGACACACATAAACTCCCTAGTGGAGGGAGTAAAATTCACATTTGATTCGGAAAATGAATAAAGAGAATCAGCTAGCTATGTTAGATTGTAAAATAAAACGAATAGAAGAGGGTAAACTACACACTAGCGGCGTTTATAAAAAACCAACGCATTCTGCTAATAGATATTTAGACTTGAATTCATCTCATTCGTTAACTGTTAAGACAGGCTTAGTTAAGTGTCTAACACACCGAGTAGTAGCACTAAGTAGTACAACAAAATACCTAAATAATGAGATAAAATAGATAGAAAGAGGAGCGTCGGTGTTAAATGACTAACTATCCTATAAAATTCATTAGGAAGATCAGAAAAGTTCAGATGCAAAATAACAATAATAGTGAAACTAGTAATGATAACATAAGTAAGAGAGAATACAATTAGAAATTTACTGTCATACCATATCAGGAGGGGACATCTGAGACCCTACGTAGGATTCTCAATAAAGAAGGAATTAGAGTGGCATTGAAACCTACAAACTCACTTAGGTAGGACAAGCTCTGTAAGTTAAAGGACCCTGTCGGTTGACACAATTAGACAAAATAATATAATTTACAAAATACCCTGCAATGACTGTGAGTGAGGTCAACTGCATAGGTCAGAGGTGGTCAGATTGCCGGAACATAAGGACTTAGCTAAGATAAGAATGGTTGACCCCGAGAAGATAAGTAATTTTAAAAAAAGCTCAGCAATTGCACTGTATGCATTAGCACACAACCACACAATAGGGTTAAAATTCTAAAAAGCAATACAGGTAGGTGGAGAGCAAGAGACGTTGATTACTGAATCTTTGTTCATCGAATCCATCTACACCCAATAGGTGCAATAGGAATGTCTTATCACTCCTATCACCGGAAATATGGAAAATGCTACTACCAATCAGGTTAAGCGATTGAAAATAATGGAATTATATAGACGAAGTTAGAAAACTGTGTTAGTAGTACCCTGATCTGATATAATTTATGAGTAATAATAAATTGTGCTCGAAACGTCATCAGTAAACATTACTATATAACACTGTGAGACTTTATCAAAACAAATTTTACCCATAATGGGATTCTCTTCACAAAAGACTGACATTACTTAAAGAACTAGTGGAAGCCAGGTAGCCCTACACACAAGTGTTTCACCCTAGTTTGGGACTCTTCATCGGTATACAATCATGCCACCAGGAGGATCAGGCTATAAGGCAAACCCACTGAGCATTCAGTTACTGAGACAGAATCCAATACTGTGGAGTGAAATACTCAAAAAAAAAAAAAAAGAAATGGGACTGAAGATGTTTAACTCATCTCTAATCAGCATGATGCTACTACTAATAAATAACACAAGTAGACTGGAAAGATTTAAGTTAAATACTTCATGAACCGGTTATCAAATAGTAATATTCAAAATAATAATTATAATAATTAGTCACCTTTTTTCTACGAGTTTCAATTTCCTCTGGTGTCAATACTTTACTCCGTGAGCTCATCTGAGGGAACCTGGAACTTGGATTTTTCAACTTCTCATTGTATTCTTGCATATATAACTCGGTATCATCATCACCATCAACATCGTTGTCGTCATCATCGTCATAATTGTCATTCCTCACCCCACGTATGTCACTATCAATCTTCGGCTTAGATTTGGATGATTCATAGTCTGAAACAAAGGCAGAAGACTGGATAATTAATAAAATTGTACAGCTTAACAATTCCTTTAATAAAAAGATGCATCTCATATAGTGGAGATCTAGATATGATAGAGAAGATTTTTAGCTTAGGTAGATGATTTTAAGGCGGTTGTGTTCTCTGAACTAGCTGGATAGTTAATACTTGCGAAGCTTTTATTGCCCTACCACTAGGCGACATCCTCGCTTCAGCGCATACTTCAATTTGAAGTTGAAGTTAGCTTTCAGATTTCTCCACGAGTTTATTAATCATCTCTCCTGGTCGGTGACCACCTGGGACGTGACTCTTTGGTTGTTTTTGTGTGTTTTCACACCTTCTAGGCAGCTACTTGTATTGGGACTGTTTGTTTCTTTGACCCTTTGTGTGTGAGATTTCCTTCTTCTTATCGGTTGGTAAATTTTGTCTATCTCGATGTGTCTATTGATTGATGATTCACTGGAATGCCAAGCTTCTAAAAATTCTCTAGCATGCTTGTTGTTTCCTCTGTCTAATATTTAAACGCTGGTTGTCCCAGTCGAATTGGTTTCCATGGTTTTCTGTATGTAGTGAGGTGATACGACGGAGTGGATGTTATGACTTTTGACGGCTAGCTTATGTTCGTTGATACGAAGACGAAGGGGACGTCCACTTTGGCCAATGTAGTGTTTTTCGCAGTTGTTACAGTTTATTTTGTAGATGATGTTGGTTTTATGTTCTTTCGCTGTTGAGTCTTTTAGTTGATATAGACCTGATTGAAGTGACTTTGTTGGTTTGTGTACGACGTCAATTTCTAAAGGTTGTAAGAGTCTTGTAGTGATTTCTGAGATATCTTTTATGTATGGTAAGGCGATTTTCTTTGTGCTTTCCTTGGTGGCTTCTGCTTTGATAGGTTGACTTAGGAGTATAAGTCTTTTGATGAAATTCCATGGATATCCATTTTTTTTGGAAGACGTCCATGAGATATCTTTCTTCAATTTTCCTTAAGGTGGGAGTGCTGCAATGAATGAGTCCTTGCCCAACTTCGAAAAACATGCGCTGAAGATGTCGCCTAGTAGAGCGATGAAAGCTTCGCAAGTATTAACTATCCAGCTCAGAGAACACAACCACATCAAAATATAGTGGATCACCGGTAACACACTGATAGGAGTATAGACGTACGACTCCGGTAATGAATGCTTTTATAAGTCAATTACTGCCGAGGTTAAAGAGAAATATTCTTTAAAAGACTGGTACTGTAGAAAAAAATGGCCAACCAAACTCCAGAAGCCGATCTAGTCAGCGGTCAGAATAAGAATCTCTAAGCATTACAAACACTTAGCATATTAGTTCTCACACACACCATGTAAATACACTAACATTGTTGATATTAAGTGTTTGGAGGTAATCAGCAGGAAGCCCTACCTTAACTAGGTCTCCTGCTTGTCGGCACTCACCAGTCAATCAGCGAGGTGTATCAGCAACTTCTTTGAAGGAACTCATATCCTTTCTGTGGTTCGAACTCACATCACCCAGTGCTGCAGTCGGTCAGAGACATTGGAGGGTAGCACTAAATCACGGAATTGTAGAAGTTATAATTCATGAGCCGGCCAATGAGGAATCAGGTCCCAGTGGCTGAATGGTATACGAGCTAGCTTGCCTCGTAACCGGAAGGTTCTGCGTTCGAACTCTAGTGGTGGGTGCGTACTACCGATGATTCCCAAAACTAGGATGAAACAGCTGGCTGTCCAGTACTCTCTTTGCCTGGATTTCAATGCTTCTCTTGCCGATATCAATTCGTCGTGATCAACTCGTAAAAACCACTTTACACAAAGCTAAACTCTCATGTTTCAGCAATGTAACTGACCTGAAATACCAGTCGGCCTAAAGCAGTTAACCTCAAAGTCATTTTGTAAAGTATTTTATAGATTGAATTATTTTGTCCAGTTGGGTCATTAGGGGTTCACTAGTCTGCAGAGTACATCTTTGAGTGAGTTTGTCAGGCTTGAATGCACTAAACATCATCAGTCAATAAATAATACTCTGTATGTGTGTTTTTACTAATAGCAAAAGTTTCAAGTGTTCATTGGCAGGATCTTGACTGGTCTCAAGTTTCATCGCAAAGCGACTTCACATTGAGGGAATCAATGAAAAATCCAAGGCGACGAGACAGCTGTCCAGTACTGCCTGATTTTTCAATAGTTTGCTAAATGCTATCAGCTCGTCATAAGAAACCTGTAACCAATTATACCCCTGTAGATCAACACTTAATAATTATTCTGATGTTCACTAGCGACACTGGCTGTATTCTGGAGGTTACCTAGAGTTTCAGCGAGAAGTCGTGACCAGTGGGGTCCATCAAGTAAGGCAAGAGGACAGCGACCCACCGATGTTGTTGGCTCGTGTATGCGCTATATGTGTAAGGCAGACTGTAAAGGTGGAATTCATGGGCTGGTCACTGGATCGAGTCCCGGTGCTTGAATGGTCTACGAGCACGCCTTTTAACCGGAAGGTTCTGGGTTCGAACCCCTATGGGTGCGTACTGCTGAAGAATCCCAAAACTAGAACGAAACAAGGAATCCAGGACATCCTGGTCCCCCCACCCCGAATGGTCTACTAACTGAAGGAAGTCATTTCATGATCAAAACTGAAATCAACCAAATCCCTGTAGACCAACACTTAAAAATCAATAATTACCTTTAAGTAATCTTTCAACGGCTTCTTCATCAGCCTTAGTCGTCTCACAGTGAAACGGTTCATCAGTCAGTAGCACCCAATCACAAGAAGAATTCAAATCTTCATTTTCACACATATCTGAAGCTGATGAAGGTAGCGGCAGCCAATGTCCAGTGTCGGGATCCGTTTCACCAAGAATAATAGTAAAGTTAGGCTGATGTTTACTTTGAATGTCTCCTCCTCCATCTTGGCTTTTAATCTTTACACTGTTGTTGTTGTTGTTGTTGGCATCGGCATCTTCATGTTTTACTTGCTGACTGTTGCCGACTTCGTCATTGTCCTCTTCAGTTGATTTGAGCAATTTAGCCAACCCAAATTTAAGTACATTATTCAACTGGATGTAAATAGACAAAAATACACAGAAATTAAGATTCACTTGACATTCAAGCATATTCATTGGTGGATTAGTTAGAAGAAACTACGGGAAAAAACTAACCAAGAACCTATTACTGCTCAACAAATATGTAGGAGAAAATGGAGATTGATTAGGCACACACCACTGAGGAGACCGTCAAATGGCATCACGCGGCAAGAGAGTCCCCGAGTTGAATCTGTATGGGAGACAGCGAGTGGGGCGTTAGTGAGAGGGTGACATGAAGGAGATTGTGAAAGGAGGAAATGGGAGATTATGGGTGACCGTTGACCCAGCTGAAGAGGACAGCAGAGAAAAGAACAAAGTGGAGATGTATTGTTGAGGCCTCATATTCCAATTGGAGCCCAAAGGAACAATGATAATATGGATTGCTGAGATCCTCACAATTTCAGATATAAGTTACTGTCCACGTAATTTCTGAGAGTTGATTGATTAGAGCTCATCTGCTAACGGTCCATGAGCTACACACTTCTTGTATGAGGCGCTAATCATGCAAACCATCTAAGCTACCCAGGCTTAAGTAGTTAGAGTGAGACCCGAACTCAGAACAAATTATCTAGAAGTCAAGGTGTTTAAACCAATGAGCCCTATATGTGAAGCAAAAACATATTGGACAAACAGCATATATATATATATATATATATATATATATATATATATATATATATATATGATGGTCTCTCTTTCTGTTGCTCTCTTAGTCTGTGACCATTTCACTTTGATGAACCTGTCTCCTTTAACAATGTATATTCCCCTTATATTACATATAATATGTGTGTTTGTTGACAGTCTGATCTCGGTGATATATATCTCCATATAATATGTGTGTTTGTTTGACAGTCTGTTATATTTCGCTATGTATATATGGATCGATACTCCATTATAATTAGCCGATCATGTTAAGACTGTCTATTGATTTGTCCACACACTTGTTTGGACATTCATATATATTTTGCTCTCACACTATTGTGTGATACATTTTGATTCTCCTTGTGTTTGGAAAATAGAAGTATCATCGCAAACCTAGTGGTCCTCTGATTTCCGTCTTTCTAGCGTCAGGACTATTAAATTCTCGACCAGTACATAACAATAATTTGGCGACGAGTACATACCAGTCGTGAAGTGGCAGAAGTTAGAATTCAAGAACCATTGCATCGGGTCCCAAAGGCTCGATGGTCTACGAGCTCGCCTTGTAACCAGAAAGTCCTGGGTTCGAACCCCGACGGGTGCGTACAGATGAAGAGTCCCAAACTAGGCTGACGAAGCAGCTGGCCAGTACTCCCTGACTGGTTTTCCAGTGGTTCTCTAACTGATGTCAGCCCATGGTGAAATCCTCCATACAATCAAACAAAATCCCTACAAAACGAATACTTGAAAACATGATTCCGCCAAATACAAATTCCTAAATTCATCCCTCTCTGTATTGTTGGTTGATTTCCTTCAATTCGGTCATTGCGAAATACAAATACTACTATATTAGAAATAATTATAACAGAAAGCACGCACGCACAGAGAGAGAGAGAGAGAGAGAAAGAAGGTACCCACAAAGAAGACGTTTTTGAATATTAAATTACCTCATCAAATGTGAAACGTTTATCATCTTGATTTCCACCACAGTTAGCATCACTTGCATTCAACACACGAGCTGCTAATTTCAGTTTTGTTTCAGCTCGAGCAAGTATTGCCTCTTCAATTGTATGTCTACCGACTAGTCTTATTACTCTGACTGGTCTAACGATTACACAAAAAGGAAAAATAGTAATGATAATAATAGTAATAATAATAACGATTAATAGTTCTGATAATCATTTAACAGAATTTTTAAGAACCGCTACAAAGTAACGATGTATGTCGTACAGCTAGTCCTATGGGGTTCATCAGGAAGTAAGCAGTACACTGTATGTCAGTCAGGGAAAGTCGTCCACTTCATTGCTTACTGAGGCTGGCGTCCGTCAAGGTGCTGTTCATTTCCCTTTTCTGTTTTCCTTCTTCTTCAATGACTTGCCTCACTCTGATAATGTTATGAACTTTGTTAAGTATGCAGACGATTCAACTGTTTCAATGACTGTTAACTTCCAATTAGATGAACAGCTTTCTATTAGAAGTTAGCAAATGGTCTTTGTCTAACTGTCTTAAACTAAATCCTTCTAAATGTTAGACTGTTAATTTCAGCTTCCGATGTAAACGAAAGTTAAATGAAGCCGTCGGTTCCCATGACGCTTGCAAAGTTGATGATAGTGACATAGAAATCAAGTCTGAAGTTAAGTAACTTGGATTAATTCTTTCTTCTGACCAATCCTGGTCTTCCCATGTCTTAGCGATTTCTAAAAGAATATTTCTGCTGAATTTTTATGCTAAGAAGTTAAGGCACTCAAGCATAACTCAATCCCTCCTCTTACAGTTTGTCAACTCTTGCATGCTACCCATTTTTCCTTATTCTTCAGCTTCATTAGAATTTAATTTGTGGATGGTGGCTATCAGCAGAATCCAAGATGCGCATTTCGTCCTATTTGCCACTGGTCATCTGGATGTACCTGCATTTCCCAGTGAGCGATGATGTTCCCGCTGAGGCTCGAACCCAGAGCCTATAGTTTCAAACGCCAAAGCGTTATCCACAGTGGGAACATCACCACTCACTGGGAAATGCAAGTACATTCAGGTAACGAGTCCCAAATAGGACGAAACACACATCCTGGTTTCCACTGCTAGTCACCATCCACCAATTAAATACTAACTAAATGCAACAGACATCGTCGAAGCACCTGTACAAGAAGCCGACATGTTAACCTGAGACCAAGCACTTCGGTCCAATCAATCGACGGGAAAATCGAAAATTCAATTAAGTTCAGCATTATTGTTTCCTGGGTTGTTTAAAAAAGACTATGTCATACTTTGTAGAACTCTGAAAACTGTCAGTAAAGCGAGTGGTATCCCATCAGGCTAAATCGTTGACATCGTCATTGGTGATAGGCATTTGATTTCATGCAACAAATTTGCTGAAAAAATTTCATCAGATTGTGAGCATCCATAGCAGCACCCGCAGCTTTTACCTTGCTGCATCTCTTCAGGTAAAACAAGAAGTCATTTCACCAAAAGACTTTATGCACGCTTACGTCTAAGCATAGAAATTCCACGACACTATATTTAGCTGCACGTATTTTATGTGATAAAAATAGTTTCAGGCATAAGCTAGCTAACTGACTAGTTAGAGTGATAATAAACTGACTGACTTTGCACAGATGTGCAGCGGTTAGAGTTGCCCCTCTTTCTCCATGTACCTAACAAACCAAGAAAAGAGAGTAGGGGAGGTTCAAAAGACAGATACAAAATCCACTTATGAGGGTAAAAGAATAGTAATATGGAAGGAGAATAGAGTTTTATTGGATATGACTGACAAATGACAAAGAGTGAATGCATCTGAGCTGTTATTGACGACGAAGATTTTGAGCTATATCACCAACTGTCTCCAGCCGCCACCATTGGTTCTGGCCGTTATCCCGAGAACCCGAACCACATTGGAAGTCTTCACCTGCCTACGTGGCTGGCTTAAACCACCTATTACGGATTTGATTGACTGATGAAGCCATGTTTTGGTTCGACCACGACATGCTAGCTCTTTTCCAACCTAATTAATCTTATGTCAGTAGGCTAACATCGACAGTCGAGGAAGGAGATGGCTAGGCTACGCATGCACAGTAACACATATCCTAACCGTCTCTCCCAATCCATGTAACTGCTTCACAACCTCGGCAGTTGATTTTCCCTTCTTACCTCCTAACACTCGACAGAGGCCTAACCTCAATATTAAACAGCCTATTACACCTACCACCAAATACACATGAGAGATAGAACACAGGTAGACACCTATGATGAAGGATAGCCAGCTAACCAGGCTATGATGAAACGAGGTTGTGTGAATCGTGGATTGGAGGTGGGTCTCGTTACCACGAGGCATGTTAGGATGTCTCCTCCTATGCGCAAGAGTCCTAATAAAATGTTCCTGATTTCATAGCCTCGAGGAGATGTCAAAGGATAGAATCTGTTTCGGTCATTACAAAAAATCCGGACAAAGAGCAGGGGAGGCGCTGTTGACGACAGTGACCGACTCTACTCGCCTTGAAATATGCCCTATCCTTCTTCCGCCCCTAATATTGGAAACAATATTAGAGGCTGTTATGAAATGACATGGGTAAACACACAATAGCCAGCTAACCAGGCTTTTTATGTCTTCCACTTTCAATGAGGGCCACGTCTCACTTACAGCCACCTATAAAAGAGGACGGATGAGTTAATGGCCTAGTCTAGCACATAAATGCAATTATATATATATATATATATATAATGACTTTATAAAATAACTAACTTGGTTTGTCCAATCCGATGTGCACGTCCTGCAGCTTGTACATCAATTTGTGGATTGAAATCGTTATCAACAAATACAATAGTGTCTGCAGCGACAAGATTTAAACCTTGACCACCTAAAATGTCAAGGTAGACAAAAACAAAAGCAATCCATAAATATACATATATTTTATTGCTTTGGCAACCAAAATTATACGGATCACAATATATATGATCTGTTTGATGATACGATAAATGGAGATCAAGAGATCGACCATGGACACATGACTGTTTATACTAATGATTGATATGAGTGTGGTGAGAGCTGTCCACTAGCAAAAATCGGTAGACAGCAGTTTACGTCAATGTTTACGTCCCATATCTTGGTCATAAGAAAAAAACAGGAGAAAAGACTAACTCAACAGCCAATCACAGAAGACTTTGCGTGGGTGGATACGAATCGCAGATATATGGTCTGACCTTCAACGAAACGGCCGTAAAGAGATGACAGAATAACTTTCAGAGAGAAAATAGCCAATCAGAAGACGTTACTTCTCTGCTAACAATTACGCCAATAATAACGTACATAAAAATACATAAGTATTTCTTGATTTTCTCAATAAACGATGTTTCTTGACCCTTGTCTTCTGTCGTTACATGAGGAGTTGGATACCAAGCTCAACAGACCAACAGATTCCCTGCTTTGGAGCAGAGTTTATCACGGCTATATCCAGTTTGTTCAGCTCAGAGAACATATTAGTTCAAAGCACACTGAGAAGCTTGGCCCCAAACGTTCAAAACAACCATCCAGTTTTTGGGCGATTTCAACCTAGACAGCAAACACTACTGACTGACGTGAGTACCATTCAATTATTCAAACCAACTATATATATATATATATATATATATATATACATATATATAGTGTCATGTAGCTGACAAATTTAGAAAGTTACCATAAAAGTGTATAAAACAGGTAAAGAGGGGTACGCGCCAAAAGTAAACCGAATGTTACAACACTAAAAAGCATTCTGTAGCGCATCGTTAAATACTGGAGCTGTGGCTTATTGGTTGGTGTCTAAACGCTCGACTTCCAACCAATGAGTGACGGGTTCGAACCTTGCTTCACCCACTCAGGTTTGGAAAGTAGGCAAGCAACAGATGTGGTTCGCTGCCAATTGCATGGAAATATGCTGTTGACGAGGTTAATAATAATAGTAATAATAATAATAACAATAATAATAATAATAATAGAAATATCTATTTTATGATAAATTAGATTAAAATTTCCTCATTATTACTAGAGATAACTGAAATGATAATGTGTCTTAACAAAAAAGACTGTAAGTAATTTAAACTCCATGAAAGAGGCTTATCAGAAATATGATATAAGCCACTACAAAATTTAGGTGTCAACTATATTGACATTGCTTTAAAAATAATATGATACTTCTGTATATTAATGGAAACCACTTTTAGGGTATATCGGGAAAAAAGCTTTCTACTACACTTGTTTTTGGGTATAAGGTGTGGCCAGGAGCACTCGATAGGAGGAAGATCTTCAAGTAGCGACATTAGTCTCATTTGAGGTTGCCGACAAGCGCGAAACCTTGTTCCAGGGCTGTTCAATGATTGTCTCTAACCATCTCATATCAATTCAGCAATCAGTTACCGCCTAGCTTGACGACCCCACACTGGACAAACTTCTCTGGGGGAATTCAATCAGAGCCACCAACACAAAGGATTTGTAACATGATACTGGTTATACAACCTAGTGATAAATCAATGTATACGTATCATTCCCACATTTTAGTGGGGTTTTTTTCTGGGCTATCAGTTGTACCCCTTGTGACCTTAAATATTCAAATGTCAATAACACAAAATAACACCGATTTTTTGAATTGGTTTGTAGGGATTTGGCTGATTGGTTACAGGATTTCATAATGAGCTGACATTGGTTAAAGAACCATTGGAAAACCTGGGAGTACTGGACAGCTGTTTCCTCCGTCCTAGTTTGGGACTCTTCAGCAGTACGCATCCGCCGGGGTTCGAGCCCAGGACCTTCTGGTTACAAGGCGAGTTCGTAGACCATTAAGCCACTAGCTAGCGGTTCCGCTATATCGTGAACTGGCAGAATTTAGAATTCATGGGTCCTTGGATTGGGTCCCAGTGGCTCAATGGTCTACGAGCTCACCTTGTAACCAGAAGGTCCTGGGCTCAAACCCCGGTGGGTGCGTACTGATGAAGAGTCCCAAACTAGGACGAAACAGCTGTCCAGTACTCCCAGTTGGTTTTCCAATGGTTCTCTAACCAATGTCAGCTCATGATGAAACCCTGTTACCAAACACCGATTTCATTCCGTAATCACAAACTATTAGCACTTGATACTAACATATAAACGAGGTGCTTTATACGTAAGACTGATAAAAAAAATAATTACAAAATGTATCAGCTATGATATATCATTATTTGACTGGGGACTGCAACTCAAGACCGCTCACGAACTTCAAGTTCAGTTAAAGAAAGCAGAGGTGATGGAGGTAACCACCCAATCAACCGACAACAGCTACATGAAAGTGGAGATGGATTGGACACTCACTGAGGAGGCCGCTGGGCGACATCACGCGTCAAGCCCTCGAGTGGGATGTCAGCGCAAGGGTGACGTGGAGGAGATCGTGTGAAGAGGAGTTGAAACAGTATGGACTAACATGGATGCAGATGGGAAGTACAGCAGAAGACAGAAGCAAGTGGAGACATGCAGTTGAAGCCGTATGCTCTACTAGGAACCCAAGGGAACAATAATAATTATACCACTGCTACTGCATACTGCCTTCTCCGGCTCCATACTAACGATCAGATAGATGACCTATCAGAAAAGATAAGTGTCAAGGGAATCTGGGAATGAACTAACCAACAACCTATCGCCCAACAAATATGTGCTGAAGAAAATGGAGACGGATCGAACACGCATCAAGGAGGAGACCGTGGACCGACATCGAGCGCTAGGAAGTCCCTTAAGTGGAACTACAGTTGTAAACGGCGAGTTGGACTTGAGGTCGAGACTGATATGCAGGAGGAGACGAACTCCTGGGGGCGATCGTGGAGGCAGCGACAGAGGATTGCAGAGAACAGGATGAAATAAAGATATGTTGTTGAAGTTCTGTGCCCCACTTGGAACGTAAAAGAATAATCGTAATAGTAATGGTACCTGACTGCTTGAATCCCTAAAGATGAAGCGCTACTCGAACCACTGAACTCCGTGTACACAGCCAACCGTCTAAACCAATAAATCACGACATCATACCAAAGAAAAATAAAAAAGAATTTCACTTAATTAAGCAAGAAGATTAATAAAATGTAATAAGGGGAAAGAAAAGCTTACTAACCTGCACGAGTACTTAATAAAAATACAAATGTTTCTCGATCTTTATTAAAGCTATTTATCGCATGGAAACGATCTTCACCACGTACTGAACCATCTAAACGTTCATAACTGTAGCCTTCAACGATTCAATTTTTGTTTTACAAAGAGACAAATAAAAAGAGAGATGAAGAAAATATTGTAAAATAGGGTGAAAATAACCACACAGGCATATCTACACACACACACACACACACACACACAGATGTCTTCGTTTATTCTTCTATTTGATTTTTAAACAAACAATTAGAGTAAGTATTTTCATCAGAACATAAACACATTTACATTTATGAAAACAAAACATGTAGTGTACAGCGAAGAGTCTCTTTTCGGTGGTGGCGAATTCATTTCCCCCCTTAGCTGTAAAATCGCAAATATATGCATATGGGTTATTTTGTATGTATGTGTACATTAAGTCTGTCAAACAAAATTACAATTGGTTATGGTTATTTCAACTAGACAGGTGAAAATTGGTAAGTCTTGGGTGGAGTTACGTAATACAAAAACGGTCAGGAAAATTAGGTGTTAATCAAATTAGGGTAGTAACAAAAGTGATGAGTTATCACAAACAGTTGTTGAAAGAAGTTATGTAATAATATGAATAGTTTGATGATTGAGTTTTACTCGGTCACGATGCACATAGAAACAAAGTAGAGAACACGAAATTACGTAAGAGTTCTAAATGAATATGCAAAAATTATAAGCAATTAAAGAATTATAAGCAATAACTTCTTTTAACAACTGTTTGTGACAACTCATCACCTTTGTTACACTACCCTAATTTCATTAACACCAAATCTTTTTGACTGATTTTCTATTACGTAACTCCAATCGATTCCTGCTTGGTTGGTTCGTTCATTGCCAGAGATCCCTGTTTCTGAACCTTCCTGGCAGGCCATTTGATCTTGAGCAATGTTGAGCGAAGACAGCTGTCGCTGAGATTTTGCAGCTTTACACAATTCAAATTCTAACTGTTTGAAAAATACACACGCGAAAGATGCCCATTTTTTAAAAAAATTTTTATTATAGCTTGATTTTACACCGTATTTTCATTACAAGTATGGAATTTTCAGCCTATGATATCGGTAGCCCAAATTTTTTAGGCCGACCATAAATATCAGATGTGCGTCGGCAGGGGATTAAACCTCGGACCATGTGCATGGTCGGCGAGAGTCCTAACCACTGTGCTACCGACGCACAATTTCGAGTAGTCATCATTTCTTCCATTAGGTATTCTCAGAGAAAGTCGTTTCTGAAAACGTAAAATCGAGACATTCTTCATCACTAGATGAATAATCTTATTGATCAGTGAAAGACGCAATAAATACATAGGTCAAAGCTTATCAATTACCATTGTTCTCTGACCATTGATGATCAGTCTCCATAAATGACAACCGTCCCGTATATGAAAACAAATCACGTAGTGTTCAGTGAAGAGTCTCTTTTCGGAGGCGAATTCATTTCCCCCCTTAGCTGTACAATCACAAATATGCATATGTGTTATTTTGTATGTATGTGTACATTAAGTTTGTCAAACAAAATTACAATTGGTTATTTGGTTATTTTAACTAGACAAGTGAAGATCGGTAATTGGAGTTACGTAATACAAAATCAGTCAAGAAAATTAGCTGTTAATGAAATTAGGATAGTAACAAAGGTGATGAGTTGTCACAAACAGTTGTTCAACGCCCACCCTGTCCAAGAGGATTCAAGAACACTATCCAGCATGGTTACAAAAAGGCAATAGTGGTGCTATAAGGAATACGATAATTGAACACCTACCTGGTTAACACTGATCATTCCATCTCAACAAACGCCTCCTGCTTCAAAGTAATCTACAGAGTCACGAATAAATTATCACAGGCAATACGGTTTCGTCTTCTTTGTATCTCTGAAGCTCTGGCTATTCACATAGAAAAACTGGAGCTGTGCATACAAAATAGAGAATTACTCAACCATTTCTACTGTCATGGTAACAACTTAGTTGATTTTTGGTGACTTAATTTTGTTTCTTTGCCTGTTTCTTTAATTGCTTATAATTCTTATATTCATTCAGAACTTTTACGTAATTTCGTGTTCTCTACTTTGTTTCTATGTGCATCGTGACCGAGTAAAACTCAATCATCAAACTATTCATATTATTACATAACCTCCATTTTAACAATGGATTGTGACAACTCATCACCTTTGTTACACTACCCTAATTTCATTAACACCTAATTTTCTTGACCGATTTCGTAATACGTAACTCCAGTTACCAATCATCACCTGTTTAGTTAAAATAACCAATTGTAATTTTGTCTGACAAACGTAATGCACACATACATACAAAATCGAATACATATATTTGCGATTGTACAGCTAAGGGGGGAAATGAATTCGCCGCCACCGAAAAGAGCCTCTTCGTTGAACACTCTACGTGCTTTGTTTTCAATAATATTTATAAACAGAAGACCAGTAGTTCAGAGAAGAGTCTCTTTTCGCCGGTGAATTCATTTTCATAGCTGCACAATCGCAAATATTGTATATCGTTGTTTTCTATGTGCGTGTACATTAAATTTGCCAAACGAAAATACAATGAGTAAGTTCAGATGAATTGGATGTTAATAAAGGAGGCTAGTAACAAAGGTGATGAGTTGTCACAAACAATTGTTAAAATGGAGGTTATGTAATAATATGAATAGTTTGATGAAAGAATTGTGCTCAGGGTGTACATGCAAACAAAATAACATACGCAATTAGGCGAGAGTTTTAAGTAGTTAGAAAAATAAGCATACAATCTAAAGTTAAGTTAAATCAACAGAGTTCTTACCATGATGGTAGAAGTGGTTGAATAACTCATCACTTTTGTGTTACCTACCCTCTTATATTACCATTCAATTCATCTGAACTTACTAATTGTATATACGTTCGGCAAATTTAATGCACACATACATACAAAATCGAACATATATATTTGAGATTGTACAGCTAAGGGGGGGAAATGAATTCGCCGCTGAAAAGAGACTATTCGCTGAACACCACGTGTTTTGTTTATATTTTTACATTTCTTCAGTTTAGAGAAAATATTCATTCATTGAGTAAAGAATATATGGCAAAGTTGAACTATCATAGCTAAAAATCCAAAATGGCCTTGAACAACCAATCAAAATTCAGATACGAAAAAATCGAATAATCGTTGGAAAATGCACTAAAACCATTGCAAACATGATATTAAAATGTATAGTGATTGCTTAAGTGTTGTAAGAATGTCTCCAACTCACTACACTGATGATCTATAGAGAAATCATATCATATGATAGAGAAGATTTGTAGCTCAGGTGGATGATTTTGATGTGGTTGTATTCTCTGAGCTGGATGGTTAATTTGCGAAGCTTTCATCGCCCCACCAATAGGTGACATCTTCAGCGCATACTTCAATTTACTGAAGTGAGCTTTCAGATTTCTCCACTAGTTTATTAATCTTCTCTCCTCGTCGGTGACTTTGAACGTGATTGGTTGTTTTTTGTTTTTGTGTGTTTTCATACTTTCTAGGTTACTTGTATCGGAACTGACATACACCCCCAAGCCGACCTATCAAACCAAAAGCCACCAAGGAAAGCACAAAGAAAATCGCCTTACCATATATAAAGGATATCTCAGAAATCACTACAAGGCTCTTCACACATTTAGGAATTGACGTCGTACACAAACCAACAAAGTCACTTCACTCAACTGGCTCTATGTCAACCAAGAGACTCAACAATCAAAGAACATAAAACCAACATCATCTACAAAATGAATTGTAATAACTGCGAAAAACACTACATTGGCCAAAGTGGACATCTCCTTCGTCTTCGTATCCACGAACATAAGCTAGCCGTCAAAAGATATGATATCCACTCCCTCATATCACTACACACAGACAACCATGGACATCAATTCGACTGAGATAACCAGCATTCAAATATTAGACAGAGGAAACAACAAGAATGCTAGAGAACACACAAATACAAGTAACATCCAATACAAGTAACCTAGGTGTGAAAACACACAAAAGCAACCAATCACGTCCAAGGTCACCGGCCAGAAGAGATGATTAATAAACTCGTGGAGAAATCTAAAAGCTCACTTCAGTAAATTGAAGTATGCGCTGAAGATGTCACTCAGTAGGGTGATGAAAGCTTCGCAAATTAACTATCCAGCTCAGAGAACACAACCACATCGAAATCATATCATGCAGGATAGATGCATTCATCCAGGTGACTGTAGCACTTATGGTACTTTGAGATCTACTGATATTCTTGAAACGGTTCTTTAACCTACAAGATTCGATCAAACCTATCAAAAGGGAGTGGAATTAAGACATCTGGGCATAGCCAAGCCATCCAAAAGCCCGAACCCACGCTTTGTATCCAAAAGAAATACGTCCAACCCTTGTCCCTGCGCCATGACCATTATAAACAGGTAATTCTTTTAGTAATGACCATCCCATTGCCTTTCTTATCCAAACTTACTGTTTATTCATGTTACTTTTAAGTACTTCTTAACCCCTATTTACACTACCATACTTTCATATCTGAACTTCCTGTTTAATTGTCATTTTATTATTTCTACATATTTAATCCCTGATTGCATAAACAATTATTCGTCATATTAGTTACGATCCCTCTAGATTTTTTATCAAAACATCCTGCCTATTTTTGTTATTTCTACATTTCTAACCCCCAATTGCACAATATGTCAATCATCTCAGCAATTATGGTGCTACTTTGTTTGAGTTGTATCCGTCCACCCCCATTGTTTATTATGGCATTTTTATTCCTAATTGTAATTTTATTGATTCCACCGTTGACCGAAAATCATTCTGGAACTTTCCCATCCATTTATTATAAATACACCAATGTACAGCCTCCTAGTTGATGCTGACTTCATCGAAAAGAGAATTTTCTTCACTGTAACGGTCTTTTTAATAATTCCTACTTCTAACTCTAACTTAATCTAAACAGCTATAGCCTTACCTAACAGCATAGATTTACAGAGAAAGTACCTAGGAGGGAATAAGTCGAAGAAAGCAGACATGATTTGATATGGTGTGACCTTTCACAACATTCCCTGAATCTGAAATGGCTCGCTGAAGAGTCCCAAACTAGGACAAAACAGATACATGTACATTACACCCTTGTTTACAATGATTCGCTAACTGAAACCAAACCAACACTTGAGAACAATGGCTGAGTCAAAAACAAAAAAGAAATGTTGGACCAGCAGATACATCAATTTTCAAGAATACTTTGAGGACCAGACACCTGTTTTATTAACGACAGTATAGCAGAATGACGTAGCTTATTCCTGTTTGATATCAGAGGTGGTAGGAGATAGCCGGTTGGAAGACTTTTTGAAGTCGATTACATGCTTATTGGCGCCCCCATCAGTGAGGTGTACCTATAACCTTGAAAGGAATGGACGTCCCCACAAAGATTGGAGTCTATGTCAGCCCCCCACCCACCCCACCTATTGGTGACTATAATGCACAAACACCGTGGACTAGACAAATGACACCGGTTACCTCCCTAGTGTCTGACCAACGCAGTTGTATTCACTAAAACATATTACTATTATTATTGTCATTATTTTTAGTATTATTAGGCACAACTTACCTCTTAAAGTTAGATAATCTTGTATTATATCAAGCATCCGGGTAAATTGTGAAAATATTAAAACTTTATGAACAGCTTTGGAATCAGAGGGCAATATAGTTGAATTTTCTGTAGAATTATTATTGTTTGACTTATGCGGATTATATAGAAAAGCCAGTAGAAAATCTAATAGAGTGAGTTTAGCACTAGCATTAACCAAATGTTCTCCAAGAGTGAATGGTTCTGGTTCGACACCTAAAATATTAAAGAAAAAAAAGAATAGACAGTTAAACACTAGATAAGCATATTAGAATTGAACTGGTGGGTGATGACTAGCAGTGGAATCCATGATAAGTTGCATTTCGTCCTATTTGGGACTCATCAGCTGAGTGTGCCTACATTCCCCAGTGAGTGATGATCTTCCCATCCACCAATTCAATTCTAATTGCATGCCCAGACACGTCGTTGAAGCGTCTGCACAAGGAGCCAACAGACATGTCAACCTGAAACTGAGCACTTCGGTCCAATCAATCAGTGGACGGGAAAATCTAAAATTCAATTAAAGTAGATGAGTATTATTATTCCCTTGGTGTGCCAAGTGGAACATCTTTATTTTAATTGGTTCTCTGCAGTCTTTTCTAGTTGGCTATACGATTGCCCGTAAACTGTAGTCTCTCCCTCTCTCCTACACACACAATCCTACAGTGCACCTCCACAGACCCACACCAAACTCGTTGATTCCCATTTAGTACACGCTCGTGGACATGGTGGGTAATTTCAATCAATCAATGGTCTCCTCAACGTATGACCAGTTCGTCTCCACTTCCTTCTGTACATTTGTTGTATAACAGAGCTCTGGTTAATTCGTCATCACCGTCAGAGACTTGGCGGGTCACAAAGAATATTTCCAATAGCCTGTTGCAGACCTTTATCAACAACTGTCTTCGTTCTATACTGAAGATCAGATGGCCAAAATCGCCCAACAAATATGCAGGAGAAAGTGGAGATGGATTGGACACTCGCGGCTGAGGAAGCCGCTGGGTGACTGTTATGTACTCGTCGACAAATTATTGTTATGGACTGGTCGAGAAACTAATAGTCCTGACTCAAGAAGGCGGAAATCAGAAGACCACTAGGTTTGTGATGATACTTCTATTTTCCAAACACAAGGAGAATGCAAAAGCGGTATCACACCAAAGTGGAAGTCACACAAATTGTGAGAGCGAAATATATATGAATGTTCAGACAAGGGTGTGAACAATCATTAGACAGTCTTAAAATGAATGGCTAATTATAATGAAGTATCGATCCATATATACATAGCGAAATATAGCAGACATGTCAACAACCACCATATATGGATATATGTCACCAAGCAACGGACTGTCAACAAACACTCATATTATATTATATATAATATAAGGATATACATTGTTAAAGGAGACAAGTTCATACAAGCGAAATGGTCACAGACTAAGAGAGCAAACAGAAAGAGAGACCAATATATATATATATATATATATATATATATATATATATATATATATATAAATGGATACATATCAGTGACATCGCGAGCGCGTCAGGCCATTACTCGAGTGGAACCCAACAGAATAGGAAGCGGCGAGTGGGACGTCAGTGCGAGGGTGACATGGAGGAGATCGTGTGAAGAGGAGTTGAAACAGTATGGACTAACTAACATGGATGCAGGTGAAAAGTACAGCAGAAGACAGAAACAAGTGGAGACGTGCAGTTGAAGCCCTACAATAATAATATTCTCTCTGTTGCCATCTAACCTTTAGCATGGAGTGAAGACATCTGTTGATGAAAGTCTACAGTAGCCTGATGGAGATAATCGCCTGATTTACAAGCTGGAAAGAGAAGGAAGGTTGTGAGTATGGCGTGAATAACCTAACCCACAAAAAACCCAATCTAATCCCTATAATAATAATAATTATTATTATTATTATTGCTTTGGGTTCCGAGTGGAACATACGGCTTCCATAACACATCTCTACTTTCTGCTATTCTCCGTTGTCCTCTTCAGCTGGGGCCACGATTGCCCATATTCTCTGATCTCCTCTGTGTTACCCTCAGACGCGCCACTCTTCGTTTTCCATTCGGTTCCACTCGAAGCATTGCTTGGTGCGCGATGTCATTCGATGGTCTCCTCGATGTACGCCCAAATGGTTCAGTAGATAACGCTTTTTAACCTTGCCTAGCTTACTAGAGCCCGCTAGTTTTTTATTCGGTCCCAAGCCCACGAAAAGACGGAGAACTGAGCGTGGGGTTAGTGACCCTATCCCGGAAAACCAATCAAACCGCTGTAGAGACTTCAACGCACAATGGAAATATAAAAGTAAAGAGAAAATAACATAGACACACACACGCACAAATAGTAAGAAGCACAAGCTTACCATCGAATAGATAGGGATGATTTACACATTTTCTTAATTGCATAATCAGATTATTTAGCCGATTGCATACACGTACATCATTTTGAGGAACAAAGGTATCAACAAACAGTTCTACAAAACATATACATGATAAGAATAAACAATATATGCATAGTTAATAAAGATTGAAACTGACACATGCAATTATCAAGACAAAATTGCTTAAATTCACTATTGAACAAGGTTTGTTATCTTTCTTTATGATAATTAAAGATTTTAAGCTCCTAATACATTAATTTTATTAAGATTCTTTTACGTTTCGATTGGGACACAGGACTTCAACGACACATCTTCCTTTCATCCTGTTCTTTGTGATCCTTTTTAGCTGCCTCCACGATCGCCCCTTGGAGTTCATTCCCTCTTCCATATCAATCTCGGCCTCATGTCCAACTCACCGTTTAAAACTCCCGTTCCACTTGAGGATTTTCTTAGCGCGCGATGTCGATCGACGGTCTCCTCCTCGATGCGTGTTCGATCCATCTCCAGTTTCTTCGGCATATATCTGTCGGGAGATAGGTTGTTGGTCACTTCGTCCCCCAGATTTCCCTGACGCTTATCTTTTCTGATACGTCATCTATCTGATCTTCAGTATGAAGCCAGAGAAGGCATCTATCTGTTGATGAAGGTATGCAGTGGTAGTGGACTGTTGGAAATGCTTTAGGTGACGTTTACGCCAAGTCTCTGAACCACAAAGAAGCAGTACTTTGTCTTGTGTTGAAAATCCGGGTCTTGTTGTTTGTGGTGAGCTGAGGTCAGTATGTTTCCGCCCTGATTTGAGAGTAATGAAGGTCTGTCTGTCTCTCTATCAGTGTTGTCCTCCCGATGCTGTCTGGCTATGACATCTTGATTTGTGTCGACTGCCTTTAGTTAACAGGTTGCTATGTGAATAACTGAAAGAAGTGACCTCGTTCCACCGATAGTGATTGGTGCATGTTGCTGTTGTTAATTGGTTGGTTGGTAACCTTCATCACCTCAATTTTCTTTATGTTAACTTGAAGTCCTAAGTCACTAAATTTACGCCGAATAATCTTGTAACGAAAAAAGACAAGGGCCAGGAAACAGATCCTTTATTGAGAAAATCAACAGATATTTATAGATTTTTATGTACATTGTTATTGGTGTTAATGTTAGCAGAAAAGCAACATCTTCTGATTGGTCGTTTTCTTGCTGAAGGTTATTCTGTACCACTTGTGACAGTTTCTCAGAAAGTTAAGCCATATATCTGCGAACCGTATCCACCCACGTTAAGTCTGCTGTGACTGGTTGTTTAGTTCCTCAAAGTTAAGCTTTGTTATTGTTTCTTTCTCATGACCCCGATTCTGGTCGTAGACATTGACAAAAACTGTTGTCTATATTTTTGGCTTGCAGACAGCTATCTCACCACAATCTTATCGATAGGCAAAAACTTGGAAAACTTTGTCCAACTATATCCCTGAGTGATGACAGCAATGACAGTTGTGATCGTGTTCCTCTTACTACACCTATTCAAAGATACCAATACAAGAGACAAGGACCATTGTGGTGCGTCGGTGGCACAGTGGTTAGGACTCTCGCCGACCATGCACATGGTCCGGGGTTCGATCCCCTACCGACGCACACCTGATATCCATGGTCGGCCTGCGAAATTTGGGCTACCGATATCACAGTCTGAAAATTCCATACTTGCACCAAAAATACGCTGTGGAATCAAGCTGCAATCAAAAATAAAAAAGAATAAAAAAATGTATAGAAGGAAGGTGACCGACCACCAATCTCAATGTCAAGAAATACAATCACTTTAAGTCTGAAACACCTGTAACAGTATTCTAACAGTTTTTCAGACAGTGAACATGTGAACAGCACATTTACATGCATTTGACTATTTCCGCCGTAAACACGCTACTAGTTTGATGATATATGATAGTTAGAGGCAATCGGCCACAGGAAGCCTTGGACCACCTAGATTTCGTGCTAGTTGGCACTCACCAGTTAGCAAGGCGTATCTGCAACCAGCTTGAAGGAACTCATATCCCTTGTGAGATTCGAACCCGCGTCACCCAGTGCTGCAGTCAGAGACCTTACCACTGAGGTATTTGGACTTAAGGCTTCCTGCCGATTGCCTCCAATCTATCTAGTCTAAGTTTAAGAAAAAGGAAGAATTAACTACTTCAAAATATTTCTGAAAAATGAATAGTTTTTACGAGAGAAAAATTTGTAATTCCCCTTTATTTCCCTACTCTCACTATTCATTATAGTCTCAAACTCATACTGCATCGACTTTCTTACAGGAACACTCATTAACGACACATTAATATCAATGTTAAACATGCGTCTTAAGTGCTAAATGCCCTGAATTTCTATACACCTTTTGTAAATTTGTATTCCTTTACGGTCCCAGTGGTGGAAAAGAGGGTTTTCAGCTAGAGCTTTGAAGTTTCGGTATAGCAGCGGTTTAATTCTTACGAAGTGGGGGTTGCTAGTCTTACAAACGACCTTCCCTCTTTACCAGTCTTAATCCAGCTAAGCGACGTTTAGGAGTACGTCGTCAGCAGGGGATCGAACCCCAGAGCCGATACGCTTCTGGTTGGTGAACGTTCTTATCGACGAATCACCGACGCAGGAGGAAATGAGTTTTTAAGTAATCATTAGGCTGTTAAGGGAAGACAACTGCGCCTAACTGAGGATTACTGAATCCGACATTTGACAGCTGATCAGTTAGAATTTGATTACATGAAATAGATTTTGTATGTGTCATGTATCTGCGCCACACTCAGACACGCCTATCATGGAGAGTTGATGGTACATGCCCACACACTAAAGCAGGTCGGGTGAAAATCAAACCATGAATCACTTATAATGAAGGTTTTCTTGTATTTCCCAATGAATGAAAAACAAAACGATATTGTTTTGTTTACTGACGTTTCGTTATTTAATGCTAATAGCTGCTTTATCGAAGTATTATTAAACCAGAATTTACAAAATCCACTCAGCTTACACATATAACAACTTAATCATCGTTCCTCAGTATGGGGTCATTTTTGAATTATCAAGTTGGCCAATTAGTAGAGATAGCAAAACCAGGTGTAGAGTGTTGGACTTGACAGGTGTGTAAAATTATAAAAGCACAGTGTGGTTACATAATGAAATTGCTTATCACATCCGTGTTGATTTTGTCATTTCATGGGGGAGGGAGTTCTTGTAACCAGGTCAGATTCTGTTTTAGTCCATCATTCCTATTCAGTTCAGACAATTTGGATTCCACTTGATATGAAGTGCTTCTGATGATGTGAGACGTTCTTTGTGATTTCTGAAGTTTTTCTGGATGATGATTTCAATATTGTCAAAATCAATTTTGTGGCCTGATTCATTAGCGTAGCGTGTAGACCTATGGCTGATGGTTTTTCAAGCTTTTCTAGTTCAACTGGATTTCTCGGTAATCGATTTCTCCATGTTGATGTTTGTCTGATGTATATCACATCACATTCCAAGCAATTTATTGTGTAGACACAATTAGATAGAGAATCTTTAGGGATTTGGTCTTTTATATGGACAAGGTAGCTTCGCAGTGTGTCTGATGTTTTTAAGAAAACTCTGATGTCGAGCTGATTGAGTACTCCTTTTCTGATATCGTCTGTCGTCTCTGCTCTATATGGAATGACAACTGTTGAGGTCCATCTTAGCGGAATACGTTTTCAACCATATTTTATGTCAGTGTTGATGAAGTTCTTTGAGTAGTTATTTTGCTTGAGAGTTTCAGTATTGTTTGACATTTCTTCTTATTTTTCCTTCTCATCCGTTATCAAAGAATGTGTTCGTCTAAGAACACTTGAAACAACGGATACTTTTGCACTGATGGGGTGTGATGATCTGAAGTCTAAATATTTATTGGAGTGGGTTCTCTTCCTGAATATGGATATACTAAAATGTTCGTTTTTCCTCCTCTTAACTAAGCAGTCTAGAAATGGTAGTTCACCGACGTCTGATTCTGCTTCTGAAGTAAACTGGATTCTGGGAGATAGATTGTTTATTTTCTCCAACAATGAACTGTGTAGACATATCTTAAACATATTTTAAGAGTGAAGACCCATTAGCTGAAACACAGGGGCTTAAGCCAATGGGCAGCAATCTCAATTCAATTAGTATATAATAAACTGGTAATATGCTCCACCTACACATACCACACATACGTGCACACTCACGAATCAATAATTTGTTAATTATAATTGTTAAATTGCATTTTGTGAATTCTTAGAAAAAAAGTCACTTGCCTAGATTACGAGTGAGTAATGTTCGATAGATTTGTGTTTGTAAACATGTCAGGGAATGATAAATCAGGACATCTACACGTGGTGGCAAATCGGTTAACACATTCTGTTTAATACGTCTTAAAAGAAATGGACGAAGAACTTTTGCCATGTCCTCATCTATTTTACTCTTTTCAGAAGCTTTGAAATAACGAGAGAAAAAAAAAGAATAGCAAAACTTTAACTAATAATTTGAAAAAGTAAATTTTATTTAGCATCCCATATTTATATATTTTTAATCACATTAAAATCGACCCAGAGAAGTAAAAATAGATTATTCTGATTGGTAGGCGATTCGGCTAGGTCGGCAAAAAATGAATATTCTGATTGGCTGACTATCTGACCAAGAGACCAAGGTGAGAAAAAGACGATGAAATTTTACTGTCATCCAATCAAATGATGAATCATGAGACGATTATTATTTTAGGCCGATTTCTTACAAAATACCACTATTTATTTAGGATAGTACAGTCAAGTAATAACGGACAGTCTAGGTTTAGTAATCAGCATATTTTCACATTCATTTACGTCTTGGCCTTACCACTAACTATTTTTCACTGGTATATATATTCCCAAGTGCTTTGAAAAACCTATTATATGTGTACTAGTACGAATAAAGGATGTACTGGATACAGAACTCCGCCAAGTGGAACAAGCTGGATTTAGGAAAGGCAAATCATGTGCTGATCAAATTGCAACTCTAGGCATCGTCATCACAGAACAAAGCATAGCATGGCAGTCAAACCTCTCTCCACCCCAACCTCATCGACTTCGAAAAGGCCTTTACCAGACAGTGTTGACCAAGAAGTAATTTGGGAACTTCTTCAACACTACGCCGTGTACCTCAAGTCTTTATCAACCTCATTCAACAGCTGGCTACATGACAATGACACATGTCAGGTGATCCACAACAAAAAAACTCAGTGAGGAGTTCGGAGTGCATACAGGAGTAAGACAAGGCTGCCTAGTATGACCGATGATATTGTTAATTGTGATGGACTGGATTATGCGTCAGACTGTGTGGAGCGAGGAAACAGGAATACGTTGGACCAATAAGAAAACTGCAGAAGATCTGGATTTCGCATGTGGATGATTTATGTCCAATGTCACACAAACTCGAAGACTTACAAACAAAAATCAACAAACTGGTAGGAGAAGCAGGCAGGGAAGACGGAACTCCAGCTGAACATAGAGAAGACGGATATGATGAAGATAACTAACGAACCGCAACAACAACAACAACAACAATAACCAGCACCAATCACCATCAACGGGAGAGATTTAACAGAGGTTACCTCCTTAACTTGTCTAAGCAGTCAGCACCGTTTAAACTACAGGCGGAACAGATTAAGATATCAAAGCCAGCCAGTCAGAATCGGAAAGGCAAGATACGCCTTCATCAACCTGAAACCAATTTGGAAGTCTTCTGGATTCAACTTAAAAAACAAGATTCGGATTTTCAACACAAATGTGAAGTCGGTCCTTCTATGCAGGTCAGAAACTTGGCCAGTGTTTCACGAAAAGGATTTCCAACAGGTTACAGACTTGCATCAACAGCTGCCTTCGCTAACTCGATGCTGAAGATCAAATAACTACGAAGAATCAACAACAAGAAACCGTGGGAACAAACCACAGTGGAGATGGGTAGGGCATACATTGAGGAAACTGTCGAATGACATCACGAGCCAGGCCATTGCTCCAGTGGAATCCAAATGGGAAGTGACGAGTGGGTCGTCAGTGCTAGGGTGACATGCAGAAGATCGTGTGGGGAGGAGGACAAGATAAGAGATTATGGTCAAAAGGTGAACTCAGCCAGCTGAAGAGGACGGCAGGAAACAGGACAAAGTGGAGATGTTTTGTTGAAGCCCAATGTTCCACTCGGAACCGAAGGGAATAATAATACTAGTAAAAAGGTATCAGAACTTGTCACTAATAAATACTACCTGTAAAAAATAGATTACAACGGGAGTTAATCACATACACTTACAGCATAACTCAACAGATGTAAAAATTATCAAAATTCAGCGAGTGAAATGTCTGCTAAGTCTTACACTGTTAGAGTACCACTGAATGATTTAATAATTCCAATCTCGTTAATGCATATATAGATATATATGATCCGGAGTTTGACTACTGACAGACGGACGCACACTTAAACCTTGCCTAGTTTTCTGGCCAATAGTAAGCCCAAAAAAGACGGAAGATTAAACGTAAGACTAGTAACTGAACTCCGTGAAAAAAGCCAACACCATGCCTACTGAAACTGCAAGGCTCCAAGTCTAAAGTCCTATGTTGCACGTATCAATTATGGTAGTAAATAATTCCAAATTTATTTATTTAGTGGACATGACACAAAATGAGATGATGCTATTTACTGGATAACATTTTCAACATAATTCATTGTTCACCTTCATGTCAAACGGGTCAAGTTAAACTTTAAACACCACTAGTTACCAATGGAGTGGGACCGCACCAATGACCTAGAAACGTTCACTGAGCAAGATAGTGAAACCTGGGAAATAATGTTGTCATCATCATTAATATATGCTCATCGAAGTGTTATGCTATTAAATGGGATATCTGGCAAGCTTCAGCTTAGGTTCGGGAAAGAGTAAGTTACGCTTTAAGCCATGGAAAAGTTAGGGTTAGGTTAACCTAATAAAGGCGACATTGTCTCTGTCTGTCTGGATTCAACATAGAACATGGCACCGAAGTGCACCAGTTCGAGTTGCCACGTTCCAAATAGCACACACAAAGGTAGACAAGAAGATGAGTGAAGACAATCAATAGAGTTTGACAGGTATAAGAGCGAGATAGAATGGGTAATGGTAGAAACGAATATATGGAAGATTACAGAGACTGAATACATCTGCGCTGGCCATTGACAACGATGTTGAGCCATGTCATCTATTGTCTCCAACCATTGATTCCTAGAGTCCTGAGGGCCCTAACCCGGAAGTCTGCATCTCCTCACCTGACTCAGTTTAACTCTCAAGGATTTCATGGATTGATGAGGCCATGTTTTTGTTTGGCCACCACTTACTCTTTTCCAACCTGCACCTATATCAGCTAGTAATGCCCGTCGGAGGAGGCGATGGTTAGGCGACATTAGGGTTGATTCGAGTTAGATTACAGTTAGTTTAGGGATATTTTCACTTTACGATTAGGCCCGAGAAAGATTAGGGTTATTGTTAGAGTTAGGAGACCTAAATAACTACACGCATAGAATGTGGTTAAATTACTCTGTTGAAATAAGAGTAGTACTTGTGTACTGTTTTTCTTTAATCCTTCAAGTTCCCCAGTGGAGCATAGGGCCTCAAGCTAGTGGTTCGAAGTTTTTGTAGCAGTGTTTATTTTACAGGATGGAGTTGCTAGCTTCATGCCCAAACGTTCCTCTTTGCCAGCATTATTTCTGTCTGAGCGAGGTAAAGGAGTGCGTCGGCCGGGGATCGAACCCCGGACCATGTTCATGGTCGGCGATTGTCCGAACCGCTATGCCACCGACGTACTGTAATAAAGTATAATTCTATTGTCGGCAACATTTATTTTGATACAGTCTCACAGTGTTATACAGTAATATTTACTGATGACGTTTCGAACACAATTTATTGCCCAGGAAATATGAGACTTTACCAAAATAAATTTTACGCACAGTGGAATTATACTCCGTTGATACTCCAACCTAAAACCGAGAGCTATTTTTATCACAAGATATCCTCTGTAACACTTTCACACAGTTTTTATGCATTTCATACACAAAAATAACCTCTTTCACGTGATTGGTGCGTTCAAGGTTACTGGCTGATTGGTGGTAGTTATTGGTGCTTACAGTTTAACTTTGCCGTCAAATGCAACTCCAATACTTTGAAATTTGGATTTTATAATTCTAAATCCTCTTTTCTATTCGTCTTTGGAAACAGATACATGCGGGATATATATTGAGTCATTTTTATTGTCCCTTTTCTCATTTCATTCGATAAATCAGACTTCTCTTATCAACCTCTCTCTCTCCCTCCCTATCCTTTTGCTTCAGATCCTTAGGACTACTACCACTGATTCTCATCTAACCACTGAACGTCAATTTAGAGTGCACCGTGATGGCGAGTTATTTAGATTTGTGACCCACACTACAAACTCAACTAAGAGAATTCAATAACTACAGTTTTAGCAGAATAAAGTGGTACCATCTTTTATTTCATTGCCTTCTCATCATCTGCTTACAGACCAAAGACAATATTAAATATATCTACTGAAACAATTGTAACATACTTGCACAGAGTTTATTTTCAACAAAAATCAATCAATATGCGCACACAGTAATAATAATAATAATATATATATATATATATATATTCAATAATGTTTTTGTCCTGTAAGCAGCTGACGAGAAGGCAACGAAAAATGAACAATGATGGTACCACTTTATTCTGCAAAAATTGTCACTGTTTTTGCTTTGTTCAAATCCATTAAGGGGAATAAGTGTATGACATAACAGAATTCAGTCAGAAGTAGACACATGATATTGATTACACCCTAGGCAGTGTATCACTTCAAAATATTATACTGTATTATACATCACAGTTATTTAGAATGATGTTCCACATATAGTGGGATAATTTCTTATTTGATATGTCTGAACTCAGTTCACGAAACAACAAGTCCTTCATGTTCCCAGCTATGAACCGGACTTATCGCGTGGAGACTTATGAAGACTTGAGCAGGTAGGTGGAGAAGGAATTCACTCCTGGACCCAGTGGCAGAAAATTCAAATCGTTAAAACTTGATATAATAGATAAAATGGACTAGCTTCATTCCAGAGGCTTGCATGATGTTCACTATTTGCTAACCCTATGATTGGATGGAAGAAGCAGACGAGTGATCAACTCATGATGTGGCATTGTAAGGTGATAGTTGTGTCAATTTAACATTAAAGTTGGTGCATCACAACTCTCTTCTTCACAAAAAAGTATCCATATAGCAAAAATATTCATTCAGACATCTGTAAAACACAAAATAATCGAGCAAAGAATACTCTTTTCGATAAATTCCTCTTCTGGCTCTACAATTATGTATATGTTTATATACACAGAATATTCTAGAATAGTAGTCAATAACAATACCTTGGTGTTTTTTAAATAATATCGATTTATAAAGTGAGATCACAATAGAATTACAGTTCATTAAAGATACATAAATAATAATAATAAAGATATAATCGCAAATAGAATATCAACTAAAATTAGGGAAATTCCACAGAAATTCATGATCATTCAAACCTAGATGCCCAGGGGGGTAAGGATAATGTCTGAACTAACTTCTTTTGGATGCATAAATTAGGCTTGTTAATGTGGATCTCAACAGCCAGCCTCAGCAATATTTAGTAGTCAACCTATTAAGGTAAAATTGAGATTCGTAGGTATGCGGTAAATGACCCTGAAAGCACGGCTAACGTCAATCTTGTGTTCTGTATCCACAAGATGAGAGAGAATAGCGCTGCGAATAGATTTTATTTGTCTTTTGCTTAACTACTATGCAGGGTGATGTTCAGAAGTTCGACGAGAAACACGCCTAACTGTACGGCCTATGCAACTAACTGGCTCACTCCACAAGAGCAGTTCAATTGGTAGATACACACACATGTGGAAGAGGCGAAATTAGGCAGTTTGCCTTTTACTCCCGAACGCAAAAGAGGAGTGGTTCTAAAGATGCAGCGTAATTCGACAGCAGGGAATGCTTTTTTTATCGCATTTCTAAGGCTCTGTGTTAATATCTCGCTGATGTTGTTTCCAAGGAACTGTACTAGCAAGAATACGGCTTTTTTTTGGAACTGTTGGTACCTTGGGCTGCTTTGGCTTTAGATTCATATTCTTATCAATAAACTTTTCAGGATAACCATTTTCACTTAGCAACCATTTAACATTATTAAGTTCCTCATCAAGACATTTATCAGAGCAGATTGCTCTCTTGCTCTTTGGTGGACCAAGCACTTTATCAGATTGCGCTTGTATTTCAAGGACACGAAGCTGAGAAAATGATGAGTATACTGATAGTCAGTTGATGTAGGTTTTTCTATAAACACTTCTTCTTATTACACCATCCTCTTTTCTGGTTATAAGGACGTCTAAAAATGAAATACTAGAGTCTTTTTCTTTCTTTCTCGATGGTGAAATGCATTGCAGGAGGAACCTCATTAAATCTCATACAATTGAGTATATCACTAAGTTTTATAATCTAAACAAAAATACCTTATAGTTCACTTACATTCATCTGTTCTTGTAAAATAACCTACAAATGTGGAATACAACTGTTGACGAAAATACTTAGGTGCAACGAAATGCAATAGATTGAACAATTCTCCAAGGTTATTTTGAACAGGTGTTCCAGTTAGGATGAAACGAGTTCCTAGGCAGGTCTAAAATAAAAAAATTTTTTAAAAGGACAATTGAGCTTCTTCTTACACTTTTTGGAGTACAATAAATAAATAACACGTGATACTGGAAAAGATTTGACACTTTCAATCGATATGACATATGGCAACTATATGTACTGTGCATGCACAATTAAGTCACAAAAGATTAATAAATATTACATTACTTGTCATGAAATATACCACAATTTCTAGCGTGAACGAAGTTGCCTGGAACATGTTTTTCATGCCCCAGGCTATGCACCACAGATATATTGTGTGTGTGTATGGACAGATGGTAACAACCAGTTGTCTACACTAAACTATATGAAGCGGGATTGGAACCCATAGTCCAACTGGCTGGAATTCAGCTGCTCCAGCCAATAAATAACGTCTGCTCACGACCGCAAATCTTCACTTTCCGTATCCTGTCTGTTTTCAATACAGAACTTTGCACCACTGTGCAGCAGTTCAAGTCGTCATACTCCATGTAGTACACAAAGCAAGAGAAGAAAGTAAAAGAGATTCATAATAGAGACAGTAGACAGGGATATGAGACTAAAAGAATAGTAATAACGAAGAGCAATACAGTTTTATTAGGTATTATAAGTCACAAGGAGTGGATGCATCTGCTCCAGCCAATGAGAACGATTTTCAGCAATGTCACCAAATATTTCCAGCCATTGGTGATTACCATCCCAAAGATCCCAGCCAGGAAGTCTACACCTTCCTACATGGCTTAAACTAACTGTTGTGGACTTCATTGACTAAGGCCATGTTTTGGTTTGACTACCACTGGCTCTTTTCCAACCTGATCCACCCTATGTCAGTTAACATTGCCCATCGAGGAAGGCGATGGCTGGGCTAGGCATGCGTAACACATGTCCTAACCATCTCAGTCGATGTAATTTCGCAGCCTCGTCTATTGATTTCCCCTCCTTACCTAGCACTCCAGGCCTAACCTCAATATTGCTCACCATATTATACCACTTAACACACACGGGAGATAGAACGCAGGCACCTATGATCAAAGACAGCTAGTCTTTTCGTGTCTTCAACTCTCAATGACTAGGTCTCACTGCCATAAAGGAGGACGGAGCGGACTGATGAGCAGTACACACGTCCTTTGTTCGATAGCTAGCCGGATATCACGTCTACACCAGAGAGGGCGTAAACTGGCATATGCGAAACGAGCTTTCTGTACCCGTGCTGAGATTTAATCAGCAATCAACCCGTTTGGGTAGATCCAACCTCCCAAACAAACGGAGTGGTCAACACGCTCTAAACTTATTTAACACCGAATACTTTTGGTACCTACTAGTTTTGACTCTGAAGCCAAAACACCTAAATAAACCCATTTGATGATTAGATATTACTCACAACCCGATCATCGGAGATAGTCCTCTATCCGGCTACTGGATAGGAATTCAATGACCCGTGAATTCTAGTATCTATCCATTAATGAAATAGAGCTACTGTCAACCAATGACATCGATAAACATCTTCTTCAACGTGACATGACGGAATCCGGAGGAAATCCACCCAGTTAACAAGCTAGCTTCATGAACTAAAGGTCCCTGGTTCTATATATCTGATAGGATCGTGAATAAGAACCAACGAACAGCACCGAAATAGGACGAAACACTCGTCCAGTGCTCTAAATGATGTTGCTTCATAATGAAATCTACATTGAAATCAATTCTAAGCCCTACAAACTTCATAAGAGAAAAATTTTATAACTTGATTTAAAGGTGACTTTTGGCTTTGTTGGTTAAGAGATTTTACAGTGGTGCCTTTCACTGAAAGATATATTCTTTTTTATTCCTTTGCATTCCCTGTGGAAAATAGGGCTTCAAGCTAGAGCTTTGAAGTTTCGGTAGCAGTGGTTTTATTTTTACAGAGTGGGACCGTTAGTATCACGCCCAACTTTCCATTTTTGCCAGGCTTATTCTGTCTGGATTCAACATAGAGCATGGCACCGAAGTGCACCAGTTCGAGTTGCCACGTTCCAAATAGCACACAAAGGTAGACAAGAAGATGAGTAAAGACAATCAATAGAGTTTGACAGGTATAAGAGCGAAACAGAATGGGTAATGGTAGAAAGGAATGTGAAAGATTACAGAGACTGAATACATCTGGGCTGGTCATTGACAACGATGTTGAGCCATGTCATCTATTGTCTCCAACCATTGATTCCTAGAGTCCTGAGGGCCCTAACCTGGAAGTCTGCATCTCCTCACCTGACTCAGTTTAACTCTCAAGGATTTCATGGATTGATGCCATGTTTTTGTTTGGCCACCACTGGCTTTTTTCCAACCTGAACCTATATCAGCTAGCAATGCCCGTCGGGGGAGGCGATGGTTATGCATGCGCACCACGTGACCTAACCATCTCAATCTGCGTAACTTTATAGCCTCGTCGATTGATTTTCTCTCTTTGCCCAACATTCTACGCCTAACGTCAACATTACTTACCTTGTTAAACCACCTAACGTGGGACAGGGATCGCAGACATCTATGATCGAAAGCAGTCAACCTTTTCATGTCTTCAACTCGTATTAGCCATGTTTCAGAGCGATAGAGAAAGACAGAGCGAACTGCTGAGCAGTACACACGTCCCTTGGTTGATAACCGGATGTCACGCCTACGCCAGAGATGGTGTAAGTCAGCGAAAGCAGCTCGAGCTCTTTGGATCCGTGCTGAGATTTCGTCACCAATCAGTCCGTTGGTGCTGATACAACATCTCAAATAGATGAAGTGGTCAACATGCTCTATCACTTCAATCCCTATCACTAAGCTAGGAGTTGACGTAGTCCAGTCTTGTAGCAGCATCTTACATTTTGTAGGAGCGAATCGCATGCCAAACATACGAAGATTGCTGCTCGAGGTGTTCAGAAAGCTCTACATTTTGTCAGCATCCTCCCCTAACAGGACTATGTCATCTGCATATTATAAGTCCATAGGACTATTCCCTGGTAACAAGTCGATTCCTAAGTCGTTACGTTCAGTTAAGGATACTTCCATCAGCATGCCTATGATGAAGTTAAGCAGAAATGGGGAAAGTGGACATCCTTGCCGGACACCAATGGTTGTTATCAATTCAGATGACCATTCCCCATAAGCCCTTACACGGCTACGTGAGTTTGAATAGAGTGCCTTGATTAGTGCAATGTACTTTCTTGACACTCCCTTCACATTAAGACATTGAAATAAGAACAAACAAGTTCAGCGAAGAGTCTCTTTTCGGCGAATTCATTCTCTTAGCTGTACAGTCGCAAATATATACAATTAATTTTGTGTGTGTGTGCATAAGGTTTGTCAAAATCAAAATAACAGTTAGTGTGGGTTATTGGTTACATCATCAAAATAAAGTCATCTATAAAGTCAAAAGAAGCCTTCCAAAATCGACAAGCTTCCGTATACTTTGTATTGCCGAAGCCTTAGCGATTTGGATAGAAAAGCCTGAATTATGCACACAGAAGAAACTTCTCCACCCCCTCCTACTACCGTGGGTTTAATTTCAAGTTCATCTGTCATCAACATTTTGTTATCAAAATTTTTTGCAATATTCGTATAATAATTTTTAGTAACTAACCCATTCAATCTTTTCACCTATTATCTAGTTTATTTTCATAATTGTCTCCATACTCCTTCACGAACATCTAATCTTTCTAAACATGTCTATATTACGTAACCCTACTCACATCTTACCAATTTTCACCCCACTTAGTTACAACTTTGATTATTAATCACACATTTTAATTTCTATATTATTTTGATGACGTAACCCTACTCACATCTTACCATTCCTCACCCTACTTAGTTACAACTTTGATTACTATTCACACAATTTAATTTCTTTATTATTTTGATGATGTAACCAATAACCCACACTAACTGTTATTTTGATTTTGACAAACCTTATGCACACACACACAAAATTAATTGTATATATTTGCGACTGTACAGCTAAGAGAATGAATTCGCCGAAAAGAGACTCTTCGCTGAACTTGTTTGTTCTTACTCCCTTCACAGTCAAACATTGCCATAGTACTTGTCGACCCACGGAGTCGAAGGCCACCTTCAAGTCAAGAAATATGGCAATTGTTGGACGCAGAAAAGTGTGTCTATGTTCTAGAATCTGTCGGAGAGTGAAGATATGATCTATGCACCCTCTACCTGGTCTAAAACCTGCTTGATTTTCCCTCGTTTGTTCCTCTCAAGTTCTGCTTAGTCTGTGCATGATTACTGAGCCTAGGATTTTAGAAAGTGTGTTCGTTAGGCTGATCCCCCTATGATTACCACATGAGGGCTTGTTTCCCTTCTTGAATATCGATATAACAAGCGACTTACCCCAGTCTGATGGAACCGTCTCTGATTCCCAGACGTTGTCTAGTACCTTAGTTAATCTATATACTAGTATGTCAGCCAGGCTTATTACCGGTTAGGCAAGGTTTAGGAGTACGTCGTCGGTTGGAGATCGAACCTCCAACCACATGAGTGGCTGGTGAGTATTCCACCTCTGCACCACCAATGCACACGAAAACCAGCTCCTCGACCGAGAATCGAACACGGGCCTTCCACAAAACAGGCGGAGATAGTCACCACCATAAACCACAGTCTTATTAAACTTCATTGCCTGAACACCTTTGGTGGCTTAAGAATCTATAATGAGCATCTGAGAGAAATGTTGAGAGGCATCCACGAACAGTATTTATTCGTAATAGTGTGCTTGTGTAAATCTCTCTTCTCAATTGAATTTAGAGGGATGAGAATGCAGACGACACAATCGATTTGGAGAAATACTTTAACGTGATGCAACTGTCTGGAAATTGTAAGTGACAGTTTGGGAATGTATCGGATAAGCTTCTAATCTAAACTGTGAATAGTCATTACAGGAATGATGAACATAAATACAGTGTTGCGTTGTTTATTTATTTATTTAAACGCAGAAAAAACTTGGTACAATATGGCACCAAGAAAGATGCGCCACACGATAATAATAAAACAACATAGATCAAAAGTAAAGAAAAAGAAAAAAATATAAGTAGAGAACGGATGAAGAACTTTATGTGGAAGGAAAACAGTCATACTTAACAAGTTTAAACAGGATTCGTTAACTGTCATCGGGAAGGGAAGAAAGAAGGAAATCGCAACACGTTCGCCATTGATAACGATTCTTGGCCGTATCCAATAACGCTTCGAGCCATCGATTTGAGCTATCTCGCAAACCCCAACCAGGGAGTCGTGACACACCAACCGATGCTAATCTAGCACAAACATCCACCCACGACGCCACATCATGGACTGACCACCCCTCCGCCTTTTCCAACCCGTCTCACGGGTAGCGAACAGAGACCTGTACAGAAGCCTCTGGAATGACATTCGCAGCACATGTCCAAGCCACCGGAGTCGGTGTTTCCAGATGATGATACTCAATGAATGGTGATCTCTACTGTGTTCAAACACACGCCGCCGAACCTCAGAATTACTCACGCAACGATGCCATAGAACACAAGCAATCCTGAAGAGACAGCGATGATCGAACACGCAGAGTCGCCACCGCACATCCTCAACTCGGAGAGGCCAGGCGTAGAGAAAGACAGCCCGCACCGAAGCATTGTATACCCGACCTTTGACAGCCAGGCTAACATCGCGACGGCGCCAGAGGTGGCTCAAGTTGATGTATGCCGCTGTAACCTTCATTATACTGTGGGAAATCTCATCCGTCACCCCTCCGCCAGCACTCACACAACTACCCAGGTACACAAACTTATCAACAACTTCAAGCGGTTCACTCGCAAAGTGAGTGCAGGTACAGGTTCCTGCCAATCTTGTAACAGTACTTTGCACTTAGACGGTGAAAAGTACATACCATACTTACAGACACTGTTGCGTTGTACATGCAGGGGAAGTCACAGCTCGGTAAAAACATAAAAGGCTTGTTTGGCTTCAGTGAACGCTTAAAAAAACATGCTCCTAAGGGGTTCGGAGGTCACACTTGCTTCCTTTTAGTAAGCTTACTAGTACAGCTTACAAATATATATGTCCCCGAAAGTAGTCAGTTAATCAAAGCTTCATTTTTACCTATTTGATAGACAAACGGCAGAATATAAATTAAAAACACACAGCATTCTAGGGAATAACTTACACTGGTTAACATTGCATATAACTGGGTATTGCAATTTTTAAGGCGATGTCCTTCATCGATAATAACATAGTTCCAATAGATATTGCTAAAAAATGCTTCATCATTGATACACAACTAGCACGTTTCATAATGATTGAAAAATACTTTTTATTTTACCTCATAAGTAGTTAAAATAACTTTGACTGATTTGTTATAATTAGATCGAAGATCTTGTCGTTTCAACTTATCACCAATGTAGGTCATAAAGAGAATGCCAGGAGCAATACTAAGAAGTTTAATGTAGATGAACTTTTACACACTTTTCGAGTTCACACTTCCAATTTTCTATAACAGATAGTGGACAAACAATTAAAAATGTAGCATCCGGTTTCTCGTTCCTGGTAGCTAAAATGAAACAAATAACCTGCCACCATTGAATGAGATAAACACATAATACAAACCTGACATGTTTTGCCTAAACCCATTTCATCGCATAAAAGTCCACCGTGTTTTTGTGAGTCACAATTCGCCAGCCAGTTTATCCCCTGTAGCTGATATTCACGAAGAACAATTCCTGTCAGTCCACATTGTTTTAGTTTTTCCGCATCAATTAAGCAAGTAGGATTGGCTAGTTCTTCAACGGATTTGATTAAATAATCCATTGAGAAAGACTACATTGAAAAGTGAAGCAACAAGCCGTATAAAGTTGGTAAAATTTAAACAAAATAAATATATATCACGTGGAATTATTTAAACAGAAGCACGTTCTTTACGGTACTTTGCGACAACCGCATGTTGCACTTCAGTGCCAATGACTACCATCTAAAGGCATTCACTGGAAAGTGATGATCATAGATGAACAAATTAAAGTCATCCTTATATGTTGACTAACGAAAAGAAAAATCAAAAATAAGTTACGCCAGATCGGAACACCTTAGACGACATAGTAGGAGAGTTTAAAAGCCAACAAGAAATCATATTGCTGTTGAGTACTGGTTCTCACACAGAGTCATAAACTCTTGGAACCGACTCCCAGAAGAAGTGGTGTCTGCAACCTCAACTGATTCATTCAAGAAGGGTTTGGACAACCATAGAAATTTACTAGAAAAGGATTAACATAGCCTCCAAGCCCTCTATCCTCAACCAATAAATATGAATATGAGAAAATAACTAAAATACCGGTGTTGGAATATGAGAACAATGATGTTGATTGAAGATAAGCAGAAATCTTAGATTTACTGTCTGGTCCTTGAAATAATAGCTCCTCTAGTATAAAATCCAACATCCCAGGAGCCATATGGAACTAGATCAGTTGACGAGCAAATAAAAGAGTAATTTGGTTTCTTCTTCAAACATTTTGAACAATTACAAAATAGATCGCTTGAATATTTTTAATACAACCCGGGTCTTTACTTTTTAATATCAAGGCACTGTACACGGACCCCTCTTATTTATTTTGTATAATGATGGGTTATCTAAGCTCACCGATTCCCCTACGGTCATGCACGCAGATGACTTTTAGAGGGAACTGAAGGGAAACAGTGATACGCTCAAGTTACAAGGAAACCTCAACAAATTGTTGGAGTGGTCCAAAGAATGGATTCTCCCGATCAAAGGAGAGAAATGCGCAAGCATGCACATTTGACAGGCAGACTTCAGCTCCTACGAACTAGAGGGAATAACACTCCCATCAGTTCAGACTCACTGATTTAGGTGTCATAGTAAGTCAAGTCTTAAAAACTACAGCACATTGTCATGCGGTGGCTGCAAGTAGTTTCAGATCTTTATGGGCAATTCGCAGAGCCTTTACAAGGACTACCAGAGATATGTTCACCTCTTTATATGCATCTCTAGTGAGATCAAGACTAGGAAACTGCATCCAGGGAGACAGTTGCTGTTTTAAAGGGGACTCATATTCTAGAAAGGGTTCAAAGAAAGGTAAAACGTATGGTTTTCGGCATGATTAATTCATCATACGAGGAGAGACTAGACATTTTAAATCTCTTTTCTCTGTCATACCGTAGACAGAGGGATCTCATGTTTAAAACTTTGAATAATCACTACGGTCCTTATCTGTTGTCTTTTCCTTCCTACCAGGTCAAAACACCTTAGAGGCCGAAACAGGAGAGTTCTGAGGCTAGAGGGAAACTGTACTTCAGTGGAGTCTTGGTTCTTACTCCTAGAGCCGACTCCCAAAAGAAGTAGTGTCAGCGCCCTCAAATTACTGATTTAAAGGCTTCGACAAGCACAGAAACTTACTAGAAAAGGATTAACATAGGTTCCATGCGAGGAGGAGATGAAAGCATGTGGACAGACCTGGAACAGGGTGAAAAAGTTGTCAGAAAACCGAAGGCAATGGAGGTGCGCAGCTGAAGCCCTATGTTCCTCTAGGAACTAAAGGATACAATAATAATAACATATAATAATCAAAGCTTCTGCGCCCAATCGACACATCTGAAGCTGAATGCCAAAAAAGTGGCGATTATAACACCAAAAGCCCTTAACAAAATACAAAAAATATATCACAGAAAATTTCAACAAAAGGTCCTAAAGAAGGAGTATCTTTATGGAGGCTTAGTGAAGAATAAACAATGCTAGTGGATCATGGTAAGGCAGTGGGGACAAGTACTAGAAAAATCAACCACAAGTTGAATCACTGGGCAGTATTGACCGAAATTAATCGCGTCAACATTTGACGGGATATGTTACGACGAAAAGAATATTTTCAGATAACTTTCGTGATATGGTCAGATGGACCAGACGATGAAATTTTGTGAGTAGTTCTATCAAAAACAATGGAAACAGAGCAAAGATACTCTAATTAGTACTTTTAACTAACGCGCAACAGCTGATAACAACAATGCATTTCATCATATAAGGTCGATCTGAGCTTGCCATACGCAGCATAAATTCACGCGTGATCGTCACATTATAAAGGATAAAGTTAAACCCTGTGTGGTTATAGATCTTATGCACATGCAAATAATCGGAGCATTATTACATGCGTGGAGTTTAGTTCAAAAGGATGCATTGCAGTACAGTGACTGAGAACATCTTCATAAGACTGACCGACAGAGGATTTTCATATTCCTTAAACTTACATTCAAATGTAAATAGTAATAGTTAAATCGAGATCAGTGCATCACATGATAACACGCACGTGGACGATAACATGTTTCGCACTTAATGCACATAAGACCAGATTTTCAATCTTTTGCGAATAGTTATAAATGAAGGGGAAGGGTTAATAGTATGGATAAGGGATAGTTAATCAGAAGATAGTGCAACTACACCTTATTACATTACAGGATTGATATGCAGAAACGTCACGTGCACCTTACACTACGCATCAAAGCATTTAATAGGCAAGTAATTTTTTTCTATTCAAGGCCAAGTATGACACTGCCATTAACAACTGTGAAGTGAATGCACAGTAAATAATAAACAAAATAAATATCTGCAATTTTCTGTAACGCACAGTTCAAATTTGAACTTGAAAATGTCCAAACGTTCAACATTGTAAATATTACCTAGAGCTAGAATGAACTGAATTGTCTTTCAATGATGCTATCAGCCTCATTGTGAAGCCAAAAGGTATCCTCGATGGGATATTATTGTTAATATCCAACTTCAATACGCCTCTTGAGCCCCAAAGCAAACGCGTATTCACTACGACATCGAACTCCTATTAACATTCTACGATTCATCCGTGTTTTCATGTTTCACAGTGTCCTGAACGCTGTACACGGCGTTATTTGAAAAATCTTTGCTGAAAACTTAAGGAAATGAATTGAGGGAAAACTGCAAAAGACAATGCGGACACCGCTGTAACATAATTTCCCAGGCTGATTCTCATTCTGATTTTTAAAATATTCACCGAAGAGTCTTCAAAGTTCGATTTGTATGTTTCACTGATCTGTTTCCCTTAGGATGATTCTCCGTAGTTCTATATTTGTGAATTGCGGATGTGTCACGTCTTTCTGACCAAAAGTCTTCCTTGGCCACAATGTAGTGGTTTTGATGCACATCAGAGGGAAACCAACAGTCAGATAGTTCGTTCAGAAGGCAGAGTCCCATACCATTTTGTAAAATAATCTGCCCAGTTGAAATGCGTCAGTCCATAAACTCAGTCTGTCGTGGCGGCCCTGTAATGGCCATCCTTACTACTTCATTCGGGTATCACACCTTCATATTATTAAGTAGTTTTCTAGGTATTCTCTGTGGGTTCCTTGTCTTACCACATGTCACATATTCAGGGAAAAAATCTTCAGTTCAATATCGTCATTTGGTTACGTTGCGAAATGGTCGTTAACGACATCACAGTGTGCAATTTTGTTTCTGTGGTGAGGTGAACTTTCGATATTAGTTGATCCTCTGCATGCGTTGGTGATCCGAACCAGCACAGTAAGGTATCTATCTTATATTACAAAATCTGTACCGGTCTTGAGTGCCTGGTTCTTGTTTGATACGACGGAGTGAGATGTTGACATCGCATACATGCCATCATCTACATTCGACGGGTTTATTGATAGTGTTGTTATCATCTTAAAAGGCAAGAGCTTATGGAATGATTAGACGTGGTCGTCGCTGCTGAAATTGATAAGAGTGTCGTCTATCTGCTTCTGCACCAAATTCTAGGCTTGCACGCTACTTAGCTAGCAGTAGAGCGGTCGTCTGTCGGAGAGTGATGTAGAGCGCGATATTACTTTCGATTTCTCCTAAACGAAACCCATGCCAAAATGAACGTAGTATCACAGTACTTGCGTCAATGTAGTTGAAGATTGAACGATCAATTCACGGTTGTTTGCTCAAACCCAACTTCCCCATATTTTTCGTGGGAGTCATCAATCCATCAGTCATCTTCTCATCGTTCTCTGTTCAGAATTAGATCGAACACTATCAGAAACCTTGTGTGTAATAACCTTATTGCTGGTAATTTATTCGCGTAGGAATAAAGGATAATCGAATCGCCAATCTGTGTTCTGGTTTTCGTGATGGTTATAGCAAATTATTGCTGAAAGTCTTCCAGGGACAGTGTGCGGTCCAGCGTAGTAATAGCTGGACACTGACAGTTTATGGAAGTTGACTGACAGTATGTGACACCTTTTGATCGTTTCTGTTCGTCTTTCTTGTTGCCGGCCAAGTCTCCTTTCAACAAGCGTTATCTGGAACTTTCTGGAATTTTGGTTACGTTCAAAGAAGGGGCAGAGCATCTTGGAAGCAAACAGGAAAGCAAGTCATGTTGACTTGTCTGTTACATGTAACGATGTGTTTGACGCTCAGCATGATGAGTCTGTTGTTCATGTTTAGCAGCCTAAGGATAATAGGAAATTTAAACTGCTTGAATCTTAACCTCGAAGTTTCGAATGAAACCCAGCTGACTATTTACAGTTTGTAGAGAAGTGTCAGTCATGTCTCGTAAACCGTCAATGCCCAGCTCTTGCTGGACTCGGGCCCACGCTGTTCCTTGAATTTTCTCAGAAACGCCTAGTAATAACGAACGCAAAAACCAAAATACCAATTAGCGACTCGAGGATTCTTTATTGTTACACGAACATATAAACACTGTTACAACTAAGGTCTGTAAACAAATATTACAATCATAAATAACAAGATTACTTCTGACGGTTTTCTGCTGACTTCTTTCTGAACAGCGACCGAT